GATTGTTATTAGCAGGCGGCAAAGTTTCGGCGACGCTTTTAATAAACTTTCTGGCCTGGCATTGCAATGAGTTTATGCAAATTGTACACAAATACAAGTGGGATGTAGCCCAAGGCGAACGGCAATAACAACAATTTTCAATTATGCCATAAAATCTATTTAGGTGTATAAATATTTGGAAAATTTGTGTACGCCACAAAAGTTGGTCGTCTCCGGCGTTGTGTTGGCGTGTAATTTACAGATTTTCTCGTTAAGATTACGCCCAAAAGTTGGCGCTATTGTAGTGCCGGCTCTCGACATTGACGCATAATTGGCAGCAACATGAAAAGTCAATAAACGAATCAAAACAACAAACGGTTAAGCCTGCTTGAACGCACACAGCAACACGCCTTTGCCATGTTAGGCATGTTGTAAAATAAATTTTGTGGCGAAAGGCCCGAAAGTTGAAGCTCATAAAATTGTTTTGTATTGTGAAATGTAATTAGATTAGAATTGGGGCTATGTACATTTCACTAAATTTGATTTCAATTAGAAAGCATAAATGGCCCTGCTGTGAAGTCCTCAGGGTCAAGCTCTACAGCAACCAACTATACAGATATGCCCCCCGGGTTCATTAACCAAATGAAGTGTGTTCGTGTGCCAGGCCAGCACAAAAGTTGGCTCAAGCATGCAAAAACACTTGACGTAGCTTATGTCCTGAAGCCAGGACTTGTCCGTTATGCGAAAGTTTATTTAATGTTGCCTACTTTGAAGCACAGCAAATAATCAAGTATACGCCTAGTGTGCATTAAGTGCTGTTTGCTAACTCTTCTTTCGTATTACTAGCTCAATTTACTTAATTAATAAAAATGCCCAAATGAATGAGCCCACGCAAATAACATGAAATTGTACGTCAGCTTGCTTCAGTTGTGGCTTGAAGCGTACTGAGTACATGAATTAGATTAGATGTGAGGGCGGATATGTGGGTGTAAATATAATGCTATATAATTACAGGAACAGAATATGTGAAGAGAAAACCGGATTTATTTTACTTTGTATATTTGCGACCAGTTCTTATACTTTCTTTGTATACTTTCTTAAAGTCCATAAAATTCGCTCCTCTATGCGATTCTCATGACTTCAAGCAATCCTGACAGGGTTTCATGCTTTCAGCATGTGCTAGATTAAAAAGTTCTGTTGACATTTTATTAAACTTTATGTTTATTTTATTTATTTTCCTACACAATAAAAGTTGCTTTCCGGTCTACTTAAAAAAAAATTCGTATGCATATGTGTATTTTTTGTATACATATCTATTTATGTTGAAATATACAAATTTATATCTGAAAGCAATTCAGCTACTAATATATATACTTATTTTGCTTTAGTAATGCCTTTTTACTTCAGCCAATGAAGAAGCAGCTGGTAATTTTGTTTTGATCCCAATCCCCGCGATATGTACGCCTTACGTTGACTTGGTCGCATCAAAAACACGTTTGCCCATGTGCCGCACATGGAGCTGAAGTAGCTTGGCCATTTACTTTATTGATTACAGATTTTGCTTCCCATTGATTGAAGCTCAAGTGTGCGGAGGCGGCAAAACAAAGAAGTCGAAACAATTTGGCTGTTTTGTTATTGGAAATCGAGCAAAGCCGGCAACGTAGGCAGCTATACAAACTGCCACAATATCCTGTTGTCTATGCTCCTTCTCGAGCCACAAAACGAGGCAAAGTTGCCCTCGGCCAATTTCTGTTGATTAGAGTAACTGCTGAGGCTTTTGTTATTGTAAGTGCGCACTCCATATTAAATGGCCACAAATTGCATAAATACATTTTCAATATACGCTTGTGTCTCAATATGAAATTGATATATATGTGTCTATCTGAAAAAAAATAAGTGCGGGGCAAACCTTCATAATTTATGTAGTTTATCACATGCTTATTTTTTTTCGCTTGTTGTTGTTGTCAGCTCGGGCAGGCCGGTTGAAAGCCAATGCCGGCGCATTTGTGTCAATTTAAATTTATGTAAACAGAAAATGGCCAACCAAATGTCCTGCGAGCTGCTGCACGGCTGGCTATCACATATTTCATATAAATATTTTGCCTTATTTTTTGCGCCTTTTTTTATTATTTTTTTTTATATATGATTTAATGCGTGCGGCACGCCATGACGTTCACTTAGGCATGGACACAATAAAAATGTTGCCACAACAACAGTAACAGCAGCAGCAGCAGCAGCAGGACACGCTCGCCTCTTGCGCACTTTTGACATTTCATTATCCTGTTAAGTATTCAAAAGTCAACCAAGCAGCCAGCCCCAACACACAGACGCACAAATTGTGGCCGCTCCCCGGCCCGTTGCCTGTGTCTGTCCGTGTCTGTCCCCCTTCCCCCTGGACACGCCCCCGCTGTTGTCATTCGGCTGCGTAGCCAGCTTATCATTTATGCCGAGCGCGTACTTTTGGCTTTTACCCCGCAGACCAAGCCTCCTCCCGCTCTGTGCTGCCCATTGTTGTATTGCCGTTTGTTTTGTCTGCCCGTAATGTCATGCGGAATTGCCTTTGTGTCCTTGGCGTTTATGACATTATATTTGTGTGTTCTGCTTGTGTGTGTGCGTGCGTGCCTGTGTGTGTGTGTGAGTGTGTGTATAAATTACATTACACAACAAGCAATATAACAAACGATAACAAACACCTTGCCAAGAAAATATAAAAATAAACGAAACAGTCAAGAAAAAAACAATATAATAAAAATGTTTTTTGGCCCTTCGATTTCGCTCAGGCCTGCTTTATGTTATGTAATTTGCTTATGACATGGCTAATGACAGTCATTGCCTCCTGTTCAAGGACCCTATTTTTATTTTTCGGAGGGTCAGAGAATGTGGTTTCTGCTGCTGTCAGTTGGTGTGCCTGACATTGCAGTTGCTTGCTGCATTTAGCTGACAAAAATGTCGAAACATTTCCAAGGGCAACTTTTAGTATTTTACCATTTCGATTTTGAACCAATTCCAATTTTATTTTCATTTTGTGTTCAGCCCAGCGCACGTGCTTCCCGTGTGCTCTTGAGTCTGAATGTCGGGTTCATTGGCAAATTTCCTGTGTATTTGCCATCGATTGATTAAAATTGCGAAATGCACAACACAAGTGATGGCAATAAGGATACAAGCCAAGCGCTCGACACAAATGCTATTTGCAGTGTGAACCCCTTTTACAATGTTCAAAAATAAATAAAGGAGTCTCTGGCCACAAGCTAAGCGGGGTTAGTCTGGGCAAGTCTGGCTTGTAGGTGCATCCGTCTACATAATCGTTTCGTTATCTGTTTATGTATGGATGCAAAATCTGCAATGAGTACCAAAGGCGCGTATGATTGGGGCTGGCCCTTATATGAGTACCATAGAGTAGTCTCTTAAAATGCTTATAGTTATAAATGAGTGTTCATAGACAAGCGAAAATTATAGTCTTGGGTCCGGAAGCGTTGAGTAGTTTTGCAAAATGTCGTTGATTATAAATGAAAAGTCAGAAGGGATGTGAAAGATTTCATGATTTTCCTCAGGATGGTATATTCCATATTCTATCCTTGTTATTTTTTCGACTAGTCTGAGTAGACTAGAAATATGTCAATGATTATAAATGAAAAGTATTTTGTACGAAGAAAGAAAAGTATTATACATGTGTGTGTATGTATGTATGTGTATGTGTGTGTGTGTGTGTGTGTGTGTGTGTGTGTGTGTGTGTGTGGGCGTGTGTGTTAGTGTATGCATGCATGTGTGTATGCATTAATGTATAAGCACGCAGACCAAGCTTATTTATCCCTGTGCAGCAAATTTCAATAAAACGAATTTCTGCCAAGTGCTCTACTCCTCGATTCTCAAGAATTCAAGTAGGCTCTGCAGATTTTCATGCTAAGCTAGTGCTCCAACGGCCTTTTGAGGAGCAACTGGTGGCGGTGGAGCAGGAGGCGGTGGAGCAGGAGGCGGTGGAGGGGTAAGTTGGTTTGTATGTATGTAGATGTATGTATGTAGATGTATGTATGTATGTAGATGTATGTATGTATGTAGATGTATGTGTGTAGATGTATGTATGTATGTATGCACGTATGTATGTATGTATGTATGTATGTATGTATGTATGTATGTATGTATGTATGTATGTATGTATGTATGTATGTACGTATGTATGTATGTATGTATGTATGTATGTATGTATGTATGTATGAATGTATGTATGTATGTATGTATGTATGTATGTATGTATGTATGTATGTATGTATGTATGTATGTATGTATGTATGTATGTATGTATGTATGCATGTATGTATGTATGTATGTATGTATGTATGTATGTATGCATGCATGTATGCATGCAGATGTCCGGAAAAATATGCATACATGTACGCATGCATGCATGCTTGCATACATATAAAACCCATATGCATGTATGCAGGTTTTCGGACATGTATACATACCCGTACGCATGCATGCATGTTTCCACCAAGGTGGTATGCATTTTTCGATAAGTGTAAAACATCCCTCAAGGTTTTTCGCGATTTTTCCACACATTTGAGTAAAATTTTCCACAATGAAAATTTCATAACAATTATTCAACGGACTGCTTGCACAATCATGTTAGATAAGTCACATAGCTTCCAATGCCTAGTGTGTATTCTAGTCTTATGTTTAAAAGTGTTCGTTTGAGTAGTCTCTTAAAATGCTTATGAATATAATTGAGTATTCTCTAGAAAAAAGAAAATACTGCATTCGCAGCAGGATGCTCTTTGTTAGCTTGCCTTAATGCCTCGGTTAGACGACATATCTATTGAGTATTCCATCGTTACTTAAAATGATTCAATTTACCAAGTATCCGCTGCTTATTGATTTATCTGCAATCTCAAGTGCTAGAATCTGCAACTCTGTATCTGTTTAAGCATCTTAAAAGCAATCACTGCCAACGAGCTGTCTGCCATACATATAAGTTTTAAATCCTTTTATTTTTACCTATATTTATTTTTATTTTCTTTTTGCAGACAACACCTTAGCTGGCAGGCAAGTAGTCACCTAGTCGCCGAGTCGCCGAGTCACCGTATCTTCGAGTCAGCCTTGGAGCAGCCAATGCAACCAACACAGACACGTGAGTATAAAGCAGTTACCAAAGGCTGCACAGGTACAGATATGTATATGTCTGTGTGCATGTGAGTGTGTATGTGTATGTGTATCGGCACTATATATCTTGGACATGTGTTGACCATCAACTTATGCAATCAACCATTTGGCTTTGGCCAGGCAAACGGCAGACCGTTTGGGTGCTATGTAAACTAGAGACTTGAAGGTCTAGCAGGATGCGGGGGAGCCCTGATGGTGACGACCAGGACGGGTTCCGACCACGACGACAAATGTTTATTTAAGCATAAAGCCACGTACACTGCAATCACACAGCTATACACCCACACACACACACACACACATACAGACAAGCTAGGGGCACATATGTGTCTGTGTGTGTGTGTGTGTGTGCGTGTGTTTATGTACTTAGGCGCAGCTGTACTTGGAGACTACGTCTGGTAATTACATACAGCATGTGAGTTCAACACACATTCTTTTTGGCCCAAACTCGTCCCCTGCTCGCCCTCCCCTTCGACTGGGGCTGCTGCATAAATATTTGTTTTAACCTTTTTACCCTTTTGTGGCCAATGGCTTTGTATTTGCTTTTGGTTTTATGGCAGCGGCTGTGTCACTATTTCATTTCGATTTAAACAAACTTTGCCACGCTCTTTGCTGATTTTGTGCCCCTAATTTATTTATTTGCGATCCTGCTGATATTTAGTAATTGAGTTTTTCTTTCTTTTTTGTTGCTCTTAATGCTGATGAGGGTTCTGGCTAGATGGGTGCAAAGTGTTGCACACATCTCTCGTAGACTCGGCACGTTTCACAACAAATGTGACTCAGTTGCCCTGCTTAAGGATATTTATGTGGACAGCGTGTGCGACAGCACCAGGAGCAACAGCCACAGCAGCCGAAGCCGGCTGAAAGGATACCCCTGCCACGGGTTAATACAATAAACTTTGAATAAAAGTGTCTCCCTGGGGGCAACTCGATGTCGTTGCCATGCTTCTGCCCGTGTCGTCGTCTGTTTAGACTTTTTGTCTTAATTTATCGTTATGAATGAATCACTATGTGCCATTTGGCGGCTGCCCGGAACCTATTGTGTCTATGTGTGTTTGCCAGCACGTAGCCACGATGTGCTCGCACTTTTGACTTAATTTGATTTGCTCAAATGAATTTCAATTAAACAGAAATGAAATTTATGCGCTGACAACAACTCTAAACTTCAAACTGCAGAGCTGAATGAAGACAAATGCGATCGCCAAATAGGTTACTCGAGCATTTAAGAGCTGCTGAATAGCTGAGAAATATACTACTTATCAGTGGCCATAGAAATTATCTTCATTTGTGCCTGAATCAAATTCCTAATCATTATCATTTCGCTATTGATTTCATGTCATATTTTTGCTATTTTTTTCTGAAGGATTTAGGCCTGAGCAGACAACGCTGATTGTTTGACTGCTCATCATTCATAAGGTGAATGTGTGTGTGGGTGGGTGGATGTGTGTGAGTGTATATTTATGAGTATGTTATAATGCAACGTCGGCGCTTATTATTCCAAACACACACACACGCACACACATTCACACGGTGCGAATGTGAACGGCCGCTGTCAACAATGACAACGGTTAATAACAACTCGATAGAATGCCGATGACAATGCTGACACATCGAAAGATTGTCATTTCATCAATTATTCAACAACACGCAAATCAACAACAACAGCAACAGCAACAACAAAATGCTCAGCCGGCAACAATCCAGGAGTCATCGTCAGTGCAAACAGTTCCTCTAATGGCAGGCAGCGCCAACATTGCAGCACCTACTCCCAGGAATCGCAGACCTGGACGGAGGAGCAGAGCAAAACTACAAGAACAGAAAAAAAATCCAAACATTAAGTGATACAATTTGTATTTGGAGCGTTTGCCGCAGGCAACCAATGAATAACAGGCCAGCAAGAGGTTGGAGCACAACAAGAGAAAAAAAGAAGGAAAAAAAATAACCTCATCGACATGAATATCTGAGTGTTTTTATTTATGACTGTGCGTCAATATTCCGGCCTGGCCGGATTGCCGGATTGGGGGATGGGACATGCTCTATGACACAACTACAGCAGAAATCAATCAATTCAGCGCCCCAGCACCGAAACCGTAAAAACTAAGAGCCGATCAGCTTAGCGAAGTGCTGAGTAACAAGCGTTGCGAGTATCAAGTGGGAAGCTATAAATCGATGCTTGACATGGTTAAGTGCTTGTGCTTAACAATGGCTAAGCCGCCCAAAGTGGAGCTTAGGCCTTGTTGCTGCCAGTTACTGATAAGGCGTAAACATCTCGAGTTTATGACATCACAGTCATAATTCGCATAACTATTGAAATAAACCTGTGTCTAGTTATTGAGGGAACCTTTGTCCCGTTTTGCAGTTATTGAAATCGATTGGGTTTGGAGCTATCGATAGTTTTCCAAAGCATTGCAATCAGATAAAGAAAATAATCGATTTTGATGACTATCGAAAATATCTATAAATGTAAGCACTTATAAAAGTTGTTTAATTCCTACCCAACACTGTTTCCAAAAATAAACCACAGCTTAACCAAAATTTATTATAGTGTGCCTCCTATTAACATCTGAATTCCATGATAGCCCATTTAAATACCCGCTCAGCAGTCTTTAGGCAAGCTTAAATCTTAATAGGAATTATTAGTAGCTAATGCTTGCCATTTGGGTTGGCCCATACAAAAACAAGAAGATTAATTGTTTGTTTATACAAAACGGTTGATACCATTAATTTTATGCCGCCTAGCAAAAACATATTCGGTGCGGGCAGACTTTAGAGCGCAGATTGTCGGGATCTTTGCTGTCGCAGACATTAATCACTTTATGGACTTTAAATGGGGCCATCAAATGAAATCTTTTTTCAACAACTTTTCAACTTTGTTATGCCATAATCATGCTTGAATTATGCATGCTCAACCAGATTGGCAGGTGGCTCGGTCTTAGTCATAGATGTTCATTAATTTTCATGAACTTGCAGTAGTGCAGCTTCCTGAATTATTATTCTTTGCGCATCCTTTGAGTCGACAGTTTTGAAGGCTTTCAGTTTTCATTTCCGAAATGACACACAATATTTGTTGTTGTTGTTGTTGTTGTTTTTGTTTGTTTTTGTCATGTTCTCCTGGGGCCCAGGATACTGAGCAGTGTTGATGAATTTCCCTCTTCATCATAATTATAAGCACCCGGCAGAGAGACAACAGTTTGTTTTTTTAGTTTTTAATATACTCTGTTAGAAATACGAAAAGCAGTATGTTAGGCTTGTGAGAAATAAGCTTAAATGATTAAACCTGGATTTCTGAACTAGATACAATTTATTTACTGTCGTCTAGAGCTCATATTCATCTCAAGACTTTCTACCTAGTACGTGATTGCAACTTCCATTCACAAGCTTTTACAGAGTATTCACAAGATAGGAACCGCTGTTCCTCACCTTCCTACTTGTTGGTGTTCTAAACCTTTAACCCATTTAAAATGTATAAAATGATAAGGGAAGCATCTGCGACACCATTATTTAGATTCTTGTTCAAATTGGCGAGCCGAGTTAATCCAAACATGCCGCTCTATCTTTACTCTGTGTTTTTATGCCATATTGAAGCTCTGAAAATGTTACAGGGATCGGTTTGCAAGCACCCAGTGAGAAATTAAGTGAGAAGCAGCACAGGCACTGCTTAAGGTGCGGAGTAAGGGCAGCGCGACTCTGGGTTCAGGGTATCTCCTGGTCGTACACACCCGGCTAGAGCCCTCTCACTTCTTTCTGTTGTGCTTCCTATCCCGTATATGTGGCATAATATGCTGTCCCACTTTGTGTTGCATAAAAGTTGCTCCTCTTTGTGTGTAGCTGCAATTAAAAGTGTCAATGACAATGTTGCCTCTGTTGTCGTTGTTGTTCTCGTTGTTGTTGCTGTTGTACTTGGTATTCGGCTCGTTAGCTTTTATTATTGTTGGCAGTGCCATCGTTATGGCCATTGCCGTCGTCTCCATCGCTCATTGTAATTACGATAATTACGACAAGGACTGAAAATGCAGCTCCTTGCATTGCACCTTAATGAAGCAAAATTCAATGCATTCAGATTCCAGCGTGTCCTCGAATCGTGTCCAGGTCCAGCGTGTGCCCCCCCGTCACTCTGCTTGGCAGCCCCCGTCCCTGTTTATCCACTTAGCGTCACACGACATTGCGTCGTTAATTGAAAACTGGCGCATTAAGCGAAAGTTGCCCTCGTTCCCCGCTGCCAGCCATGCCATGCCCAGGCAAAGCCTACTTGCTTTTATAATTTCTGCTTTTTAATTTTTCACATTGTAATGCCCGCGCGCTGGCATATTTATTTATTAAAATTTAATTAAATACCTTTTAAGATTCTTGCACATGACTGCAAAATATTTTTAATGAGTTTTCGCTTTTGTGCGTGTAAAATATACACAAGTTCCTCCATGTGCAACATATCGCAACGTTCGTAAAACCACTTAAAAAAAAATTAAGCGTATGTTATTTATGGCGACACTTTTGGATACATAAGTACATCCAGAATATATCATTTTCTATGTAGGAAATTGTATGGGCAATTAAATATTTAAGTCCCTTATTTTATACTTTCTTTTATTTACTTGTGTCTATATACAAAATAATTATTTAAGCTAGTAAAATTTATTTTTCTTGCTTCTTTGTTTCCTGTTTAATTTAGGCATTCAGATTTATCAGGTTGTCTTTGCTACCTCGCCTTTATGGCTAAAACAAAAGCGAGCTCTTGTGGGGCAACAAAAGATAACTTTTTTCGTAAAAGCACAATAATAATAAATAATAAAGACTTGGCCTGGACTGTGCTGGTTGCAGGCGCGAAAGAGCCTGAAAGGGAACTCAAACGGAAATGCAAAATACATACCACCCGCTATCCGTAGACCTTGTTCTATAGACGTTAACATTAGCCGTAGCCAAAACCCCGGCCAGACATTGAATTGACCTTAATAAAGTCGACGGCTGTGGATGCGGCTGCGGCTGCTGCTGCTCTTGTCTGTTGTCGACCTTTTTCATTCGGCCGCTAACCTAACCACGCCCTGTTTCCACCTTTTTTTTCCGTTTTGCTTACAGAAAATGCTGATACTGCTGCCATTGCTGAGTATATTTGGTAATAGTCTCATTGCTGGAGTCGGGGCGAATCTGAGCTTGGGCTTTAAGGTCATCAGAGTGAGTTATGCAGACAAACAAATAAATAAAATAGATGTATTTATGAATTATATTACTTAAATTCTATTCTCTCTAATTGTGCATACCAAAGCTGCCAAGGCATATAAATCCCGGTAAGTCCATTTATGTATATATTTGTGTTTTTCTTACATCAATTGAATTGAATGTCTGACTTTAAGCTAAGCAAATCATCGGACGAGTAGTGCGTATGCCTCGCAATCAATTTGAAATGAAAATTGTAAAATTACATTCACTTTGCGCTTCATTAATCAAAGGCACTTCGCCAGCCGCCACTTCAGATGTGCGTCTCCAAAATCAACCCAAAAATAATTTACTAAAGAAAAAAAAACTCGAAGACCAAAGTGCAACAAAAAATATACAGAACAAAAAGAAGAAAAACACAGCACAGCACAGACAGACAGACAGACATTTTTCCATTTAGGCAGCCATCAATTTTAAATATTTTTCGTGTTGTTAGCCAAATAAATATTCATTTTAAGGCGCACAAAATGCCAAATAAAAAAAACACCAAGAAACCAAATTGTACGAAAAACAAGTGAGGCCCCTTAGTTAAGAGTGCTCGACCCTGAACTTTGTTCTAACAACAACAACTGCTGCTCGCGTTAGGATGGTGAAGGAGAGAGAGAGGGTGGGGGGGATAGATATACATTGAATGATACTTGATTTGTATATACTATTCTAGAAGCTGCAACTTTGCTGACTCTAGCTCTTAAAAGCTAAGAAATTTGCAAAAAACTGAAATTCTATATCGTTTTTTATTGATTGATTGAAAACGGGAAAAGTTATTGATTATTAAAAACAAATTCGTACTATGCACGCACTAGGAGTATCTATGTTCAAGTCTTTAGCTCGTAAGGATTCTGACCTCGACTCGACGTAAATACATATGGACAGACGGACGAACAGATGGACAGACAGACGGATATGGCTAGATCGACTTGGCTATTGATGCTGTTCAAGAATATATAAAAACTTAATGCGGCAGAAATGCTTCCTTTTGCCTGTGACGTACATTATACCCCTTTTTAGCCATTTTTAATGGGCTTAGGTCATACAAAATGTTTAAAAGCAATAGCAAAAGTAAAAGAAATTTTTTAGCAATCAAGTACATTTAGGAAGAACATTTTACAAGACTAAATATTCGAAATATTCCAGCTTTTATATTTATTGAAACGTAGTTGCAGTCTTTATCTATTAGCTGATCCTCATCTAAATCATGTTTAATGAAAGCTAATATAATTATGTGTTGTCTTAAACAAAAACCCAATCAGTTGTTGGACCTTTACTTAATGTACAGCTGCAAAGCTCGAAATATGCTATGCACTACCAAAAAATACATCCTTTATAGTTTGTGTTTCAAGGCAAAAGAGAATTTAATTTCAATTTGCAAAACGAATGTTATTTTTTCGTAGCTAAATTTGCAAAAAGTTGCAGAAAACTCGTCTCAATACCCTTTGTGCTGGCCAGTAGGCTAATCCCAGCCAACGCTGTCTTCTGGCTGCGGCAGCCAACTAACGAGCAAAGTGATTTTAATCGATTTATTTTATTATTTGTCGAATTGCTCCGAAAGAGAATAAAAAAAAAGAAAAAAAAATTGAAGGAAAATAAAATTCATTCAACATGTTTGCCTGCTGCTTCACATGTTGTCGAGCAAAGCTTTTCAAAATTAAGCAGCAGCACGAACTGTGCCAAAAACTTTTGCGATTTGGGGTGTTACAACAAATACAACCAATTTTCCCTTCTGGCCATATCGCTGCATATGTTTTATGGGTGTGTGAATGCCGCATTCCCGCAGCCCCGCACCCCTGCACCCGGCCCCACGCCACACTCCACGCTGCAGTTAAAAGCCAAAAGTTTTGAGTCAAATGCCAATACAGTTTGTGCGTCCATGAGCTGCCGACGCCTGTTGTGGGTTCGTAGCTGTTGCTGGTATCAAAATCCCCCGCAGCGCTCTTCACGTCCCTCCCTTTGTAGGTATGTGCGTGTTTTTTCCCTCTGTGTGTGTGTGTGTGTGTGTGGGAGTGTTGTGTGGGAGTGTGCGAGCATGTGCCATGGGCGCATATCAATGCTCCACACGTTGTGCTGCCCGTGGTGCTCCCCGCTGCGCTGATGCATTGTCCAGGCAAAGCGGAACAAGTTTATTTAAACTGTAAAACTTGTTCTTTTTTTTATTTTTATTTTGTTTTGGTTGTGTGACGGGAGGACGGGGGCGTGTTACTTGTGCAAAAGTTATCGAAACACGAAAAATGTGGAGCGTGTGCCCATGTATGTGTGTTCGTGTATGCGCTGACGAAATAAGCTCACAAAAAATAAATTTACGAAAACGTGAGGAATTCTTGTTTAAACAACATACTAAAAGATTTACTGAAGCTGCAAAACGAAAAGATTTCTAGAATTTCTGCACACAGAATTAATTATTCAAATAAGCAAATGGTGCGAAAATAATAGAGAGTTGTGCTTAAGCCAAACTCTAAAGTAAGGCACATATCCAATATAAAGTCTGTGCCATTTTCTGCTTTATTTACTTTTTCCTCTTTGTCAATTGGAATAAAACTCTGCCAAGCACATAGAACTTGGTTTTTTTCGACTTGCTAATATCGTGGCCCGGGCAAACAACATTGAGCACACAATTTGTAATAAAATTGCGCATACGCAGCGTTGTCCAAGGAGTCTTTTGAGCTGGGACTTTATAGCAGGATCTCGCCAGTGTGTGTGTGTGTGAACGGATGCACACTGGTCAGTGGGCACTCAAAACTTGTCGCACACACGCTCGAGTGCTGTAAATCTTTGCACAAAATGAAACTTTATTTGGTCATGGTCATCAGCGACTTAAGTAAATCTAAAACTCTAAGTAAAACAAATACTACAGCCCCGGCATAAAGCAAATAAACTGTGCAAACGTGACCCCAAACCAGGCACCAGGCACCAGGCCAAGCCGAAGACAAGTGATGATGACCCCAAACAGTTGTTGGACAGCTTGCGCACAAAAATATGCTACACTTTTTGCCGCCTCTCTCAGGACACGGCCAACGGGTGGCACGACTTGGGCTTGTCGCAAGGTAAACAATAACAAAGAACGAGTACATTACGGAATACAAAAAAAAAAGTAGAAGAGAAAACGACAAGTATAATGCATAACATGAAGTTATAGCTGGGATAAGTCGGCCCACACACTTACAACTACAACGGGATTGAGAAAGGGGCAGGGCAAAAGGACGACACACATAACTGCTTAAGTACACTCCAGCAAAGCGTAGACAGTCTTAAATGTTGACAGCTAACGTAGATAAAAGTGCTCACATTGCAATTCCTGTGTTCGCTTCCGCCTTAAAGGCGGCCGCATACCCTGTAAACAGACATAGAACTTTTGATAGAGAGTGTTGATTTGGCTAAAGCTTTGCTTGGCTTTACTTGAAGTTGAATTGTGTTAGGGCATCCTGAGTTGGTCATGTGCTGCATTTTACTTCACTTTCTTTTTTGCTGTTCTAGTCGATTCGTTAAGGGTAAGCAGCGATTGCTAGTAAGGAGCAATGACACACTCACACACATACACATACACATCGAACTTTACTTCCTGATATGTAAAGTGATGAATGTGGGTGTATGTGTGGTAGACAGCTTTTGCTTAGGTGTCTGTGTGCCAAAGTACATTAAGAAGATTGCACTTTCGAAAATGACACAATTCACCACAAAGTAAAAGGTGTAAGGTGCAAGCCAAGGACAACGAGCACGTTTGTTGCTTGCAGGTGCCAAAAGGAAGTGAACGACAGCTGGTGTCACTTCCGGCAACAGTAGCTGCTGCTGCTAGGCGAGTTTTCAATATATATACAAATCTAATTGCTAATGGCATAAATATACGACCACGTGCTCATATTGTATTATATCACAAACAACGTGCAGTGGCAATTTTCGCATTTCACCATTGAAGCCAAATGAATGATGATGCCACAGCGTGAGGCATATCCAGGCAGCGTATCTGGCTAACAGAGTCACGTTCTTGCCGAAATCAATTCACCAACATGCACAAGAAAAGTGGAAAATTGCCAGCGAGCACGTAGCCCTAAGTACCAGAAGGTGTGTGAGTGTGTGGGTGGAGGTGTATCTGTGTGTGTGTGTGTGTGTGTGACGGCAGCTCTGTGTAACTGCGAAATTGCAAATATCCAATGACAAAACCAGAAAACCTCGAATAATTGTGATTGGCGGCTAGAAATATTTGTGTGTGGCGCACGGCAAAGTCAAACTCTTATTGCCTAATGGCGGCTCATAAAGCACAACATTTGTCAGTATCAATTTTGATGAGGCACGACAATAACACACACGACATAAAGTCTATTGTTTGCTGTGTAAATATAGCGCTGTATTGTAAGCCACACACTCATATATGTGTGTGCGTGTGTGTGGGTGTGTGGGTGTGCGCTGGTATGTGAAGTAAATTTATAACAGCAGCTCCCTTCATATTAATTGGTTTTTTTATATTTTCTTTTTCATTTGACATGTGTTGAAACGAGTCCAAGGGAAATGACAGTCGAGTGAATTGCTAATAAACAACTCGTGGCAGCGTAATTATGGCAATAACAACATTCAATTCCAAATGACTTTTAGGGGTTGCATATAGCAAAATAAATAACAGATTGCGGAGATTGCAAAAAAGTAGCTACACATTAAAAGGGAAATGGGAGTTGGGTATTTCAGAGGCGGCCGTGCTCGTGACACGAGTGTACCGAACATGGCACTACTCTATTTTACCCTTGATTCAATAGATACCCTATCATATAGTAGACCGATTTGATAGAGGAAAGTTAAGCTCGCCGATGCGTCTGGGCAGTCTGAAAAGTCTGGATAAGATATATTGAGAGAAAAAAATAGCTTACATTACAGCAACTAATTTATTAGAGCAATTGTCTCTATAAAGCTACATGGAAGTTCGATTCTTGTAAGATTTTTTTTATATATGTTGAAAAAAAAAATAACGAAACAATTTTTCAAACAGTCTTGCCCAAAACAAATGGTAGCTACTACTATGATATGGTACTCCGATCTGGCCGATTCCCACAGAAACACGGACTTAAAAATTGGGACTTTAGTTTGCATGTGTTCTCCTCGCTTAACATTTTGTGATCAAATTAAAATACCCTCCACATGCATGCAGCTAAATCTAAAGTGTCCTATTTTATGTCCTCTACCTATTAGCTGTAAAGCCGCAAAACTCGAACAGACGCATTCAATTCAATTTCTATAGCTATTTCGAGCTGGGTTTTGTGCTGATTTGATTTCTCTTTTTTTTTGTGCTTTATAAAAAACGTGTTTTTTTTTTTGTTTTTGGCTTTTTTTGATGCTGGACGACAACAATGGAAATGCCACTATGCCTGGTCTGGTGTCCTTTGCTGTCACTTCGGGTACTTCGGCTGGGCTGTCCGCCTGCAGCCAATTGCAGCGTTGGGAACACGACATTCGCACATGGAGCTACGTTTAAATTGGATTGCAAGACCCAATGCGTTTGCGAGGTAAGTCGGGGGGCATGTGTTTAGTCAGCTGCCACACAGACACAGTTGCGGTCAAAGTCAAATGCAGTTGCATTTAGCTGCGGTAGCTTTTGTTGTTGCTGCTGCTGCTACTAAACCTGTGCCCCTTAGCTTAATTTATTTTGTATTTGTTTTATGTAAGGGTTAACGTAAACACTTGTGTAATTAATATGTTGGTTAAATATATATAGAGAAGGGCATTGCAGCATTTTAATTGGAATTTATGCTGGCACAGCATGAACGGGATCGATTTTAATGTAACAGAAAGTTGATTTAATTGAAAGGTCAAAACAAAGAGTCAAGTGGGAGGGTTTTAGTCTCCAGTGAGCCCCGCCCCATGCTACCTTTATAACATTCCAGCTTTCTTCTATTGCACGATTGTCCGAAGGCCTTAAATATGGTATTTAGTTATCTTCAATTATGCGAGGAACTATAAAAGCTATCCTTAATCTTAATCTATGTACTATGCAAGAGTCTATAAACCAAATTTGGTGTATATACCTTCTATAGTTTTTGAGTTGTGCTTAAATCCAAATCTGAAAATCGATTTTTATCGATGTTTTGAGAATGGGACGAGATATTGATAAAATATTATAGATTATCTTTACGCATGGTATAGAAGATGGACAGGCAAAGGGAAGGACTCATTCGGATTGAGAAATGGCAGATAAAAAGACAAATTCCGCTCGTCATATAAATAGAGAATAAATATATACTTTATGGGGAGCAGAATGCGTCCTTCCGCCTGTTACATGCATATGCATGAAACTACTGTAAGCCCCTTCTTGGGACCTCAACCTATTAAAGTTGAGAGTATAAAAGTATTATAAAAATGATAACATATTTCATTCCAATATTTTGGCATTTTCAACGTGTGCAATTTTTTAAGAAATTTATTAACAACATTTATCTATGGAATTCAATTTTGGCTCGGATTAATCGAGCCATGAATTGGACTTACGCGCAATTATATGAAAAGTGTTGAAAGGAATGCCAAATCTGAGCTGAAGACGTGTGTTGGCCACACGAAATCCCAGGCATTGCTTAATGGCCACACATTTGTCTGGAATGTGTATGTGTGGAATTCACACCTCTTGCCAGCTGAGGCAGTTTATCATGACGCCCAGGCAGATGCCTGGCAAGCCTCACAAGCCGCAGACACAGTGCAACTTATGCAATGCAATTTTGAGCGAAAGCATAACGCATAAAAGAGTAAAAAGGGACAAAGTGTTAGTTGAACGCTGTAGTTAGGGTATTAGGCAGTCGTTTATGCCGGCCGACGGCGAGTAGCTTGCGTTCAGCCAATATATTCGCTATAATATGACTTTATTTCCGGCTAAAATAATAACAGCAGCAATTGTTTGGCTGGGCGCCCACATTTAATGTATTTTAATGCTCGCCTTTGCAGAATGGCCGCCATGCCTGCTCCACACTGTGCCCCAACGAGCAGCTGCCGGCGCCGGAGGATACGATTTCATGCAGATCGCCGCGTCTCGTCGAGGTGCCCGGCCACTGTTGCAAAATGTGGCTCTGTGAGAATCCAACAGCTGATGGTAAGTTGTGTTTGTTTGCGCCGCGCTTCCGTCGTCTCGGTTACAGCCGAAGACCCTGGTCCATGGCCTTGTTATTGTTTTATAAGTGTGTTTATGGTCGCAGCCGGCCACTGTGCTCTCCGTTCTGGTTCTGGTCCTCTGTCCTCTGTTAATGGCGCCCAGGGGCGGCAATTCTGCCAGCCATCAACGTCGCAGTCGTCCAGCGCACAACTTAATGCTGTTTAAGCGCCCAGCCAAAAGCGCAACGCATATTTATGAAGATGAATTATTCCATGACAAGGCAACAGTCGGTTTCCAGCTGAAGCCCGAGCTGTTGCTGCTGCTGCTGTTGTTATTGTTGTTCTTGCTGCTGGAGCTCGAGGCAATGGACAGCAGCAGCATAATTACTTACACAAGGATTAAGTGTTAATTAAACGCGCAAAAATGCAATAAATAAACAAGATTATTAAGCGCTCTTAAGAGCCCCTTACTCGAAACGGGCTTTACGCCTTTACCAAACGCTTTGTTTGTTCATTAACTGTATTAATATACATCTACCTATATATATGTATAGACTGGCGGGCATAACCCGTTCTTGCCCCTGGTACATATAATTTTCACCAGAAATAATACTGCCAGATTAAGATGCCAAATTGATCTAAAGGTTAAACCATGAGCAAAAAGCCAAACCTTACGAAAATCGGTTGAGTTTTGACTGAGTTATTGGGGTGGCGAAGTTTGACCTATGTCTATGTAGAATATTTGACGGTACCATTTTTACTTCGACCAAGAATAATGCTGCGAGATTTAGTTGCTAAATTAGCCCTGCCTGAAGTAGAAAGGGGAACAAGTGGGGAAAACGGATGAAAGTGTGAGGTCGCAGGCAAAACTTCAGAGAAATTCTTGAGGATATATTTCTTCTTTAAATAATGTGAATAAAAAAAAATAAAGAAAGAAAAATAATAAAAACAAACAAAATAATTCCATAAGTAGTATAAAATAAATAAACAAAAATAAATTATATATAAAATGAATATAAATAATATATTACAGAAATTGCCCAAATAAGCGGTGCAATATACTCTTGCTTTTGTACGATTTTTTAATAAACAAAAAATATCTTAGTACTCATTAAGTTTATAAATAAAGTGGAAGCATCTCTGCTGGAAACATCGCCCTTACTTATGCTGCGCTAAGCACTTGGCCGTTAAGTGGCTAATCATAATCATTGGCAACTCTTTTGTTTTGCGCTCGTTGCAGTCTATGCCACCTGCCACAACAGCAGCACCAGCGGCAACTGGACCGCCTGCAGTCGTGCATGTGGCCTGGGCATGGCCACAAGACAGACGAGCACCCATGCCGGCTGCCATCAATTGAGCAATTTACGGCTTTGCGAGAATCGCAGATGTGCCCAGGACAATAAGACGACGAAGAGCAACAGCCACAGTAGGCTATTAACCGCTGAGCGCCAGCAGAACTTGGCCAGCAGCCAGCTGCATCAGCAGCATCAGCAGCATCATCAGCAGCGGGAGCGGGCCGGAGTACGTCAGAGAAACGGGCATGGGAAGAGCAATGGGTATGGGCATGGGAATGGGCTGGATATGCAACAGGAGCCCGCACATAGAATAAGAGTGAGTTGTGGCATTGCCAGTTGCGGCCGCCTGATGCGAGTGTTTCTTTGCCCCCACGCAGAAGGGTCACGAGTGCCGCAGCTTACAGCGCCTGGGCCCGGCCAGAATTCGACTGGGCGAGTGCGTGTCCCGCAAACTTTATCGACCGAAACTGTGCGGCAGCTGCCACAGGGGCACCAAATGCTGCATTCCGGCTGTTTCCACAACAATACAGGTGAGTTTTGCTGCTTTTTTCAGATTTGAGCTGCCTGCAAGGGTGCTCTCGGGCGGGCTGCAGCCTTTGTGCGTGAAGAATGAAGCGCATTTTCTTAGATTTCCCTTTTGCCACTTTGTCACGTTTGCCGTGCTTTATTTTCTTAATTGCATTATTCAATTAAATTAGCGTTCATTTTAATGCAAGTCAGGCGAGGGCAATTAAAATGCAGCGCATTTTTATTTTATGAGCAAAGGCCAACAGCTGGCCAGTATAGGCTTATAATACCCTGTAAAATCAAAACTTGAGAAACGGCAAATGCACATGAGAACCAACCAAACCTTTATAAATGAGGAAAATCCTTTTTTGGAAATAAAATATTATTTAGAATTTTTGTTTGTTGAATATATCTGATATAAAACCCATGAATTTTGGTTTTATCTATATTTATTGCATATTTTTTATATAAATCAACGTATGTTAAAGATCTGATATATAATTCAAAAAAATTTTTTTTTTCATTTTATTCATATTCCTTTATTTAATAAACTAAGAGAAATTTTAAGTTACATCTTATATCATATATTTTAAAGCGTTCGATTAACTAAGGACTTTAATTGATTGTTGTTCTTAATGTTTATAGAGCATTTGACAGCCTGCTATATTGATGTGCTGCACTTGCTTTTGTTGTTATTGTTTATTTGATTGCCTTTGCCTTGTGACCGTCTTTGGGTATTAATTAAAAAACGAATTGCATTAAAACGTCAATTTGCAATTGCAAGTGAGAGCTGCCGAAGACGGCCAAATGAAATATCAAGTGCTCAGGTGGCTGTCAAAATCGATTTAGCACCTGGCGCCCGATTGCTTTATTGCGCTTTTCCCATTTATTAAACGTTAGCTCAGTCAACGGTTGTAGTTGGTTGCAGGATCGGAACTCTGGCCGTGATTTCGACTTGTTACATTCTCGGCTTTTATTTTTCTTCATTTTTTTCTCTTGCAGGTCGAGCTGCTGTGCCCCTTAAATGCCGTTGATCCAATTAACTACGTACAAAAGCGAATACAACAGCAGCACAGGCAACAGGACGAAGCAGCTGAGGCGAGCTCTGAAGGTGAGAGCTGGCAGTCGGCAGGCCAGTTATGGGACACCATTGCCTTGGAGCCCATCGATCAGGAATTTCTGCAATCGCATCAAATACAAATCGAGAATAAATTCGTTGCCATCGAATGGATACTGAAATGTGAATGCAGCAAGAATGTGAGTACCAGGGGCGTGGGCACACTACGACGCTCGAAGGGGTCTCCAGCTTAAGTGGATAGTAATATTTTCTGCTGCCATCGGCTGGGCCATAAGTCTGGTCATATTTTCGTACGTTCATATGGCTCTTCCATGCCAAACAGCAGTCATCCAGCCAGGCAGCCTACTCAGCCATCGCCCAACCCCTTGCCCTATGCCGCTTAGCCGATCCCTGCTCCATTATCCACAGCAGCTGCACGAAAATTGCTTTCACTTGTCATTTTAATCGCATTTTTCTTGTTTTTCTTGTTTATAACCGTTTTCCTTTGTTTCTCCCCATACCCTTCCCAGCGGATATCAAGATATGTGTAAAGCATTTCGCTTTTGCGATGTATTTAACTTTTTTTTTAGTTCTTGATAAAAACTTATTCTTTATCTAGGATGTAAGCTGATTTTGAATCAAACTAAGTTTTATTTTATTTATTTATTTTTTTTAATCGAATTTTTTACGAACCAGGTGTCTACAACAACAGCTAAAGTAAAAGCTGAACCGGACGTGAGAAATGAAAAATTGGCTTAGCCTAAAATAAACAACATTTGGGAGAGATCCAGCCTCAGAGCATCAAATTATTTTTGCTAGATATTATATTTAGGGATCGGGCAATTGAAAAGGGAAATCGTCAAAATTTTGAATTTATATGATATAAGGCTGGAACAGAAAGAATGAATAGTTCTGGAATTGAACCTTAAGGCAGGCAATTGATTCGAACCGTGAAGCCTAACACGGACAGAATTTTTTTTATGTTTTGCAACCGTATTACCAAATGCTGCTTCTTTCCTCAGACAAAAGATAAACATACACAAGGTGTACAATTAGAGCTGAATTGAATATCTTTATTATTGTGCCTAGTATTTTACTTCTACTTCTCTTGTTAAATACACAAACAGGCAGATTTTATGCTGAAGAGGCAATATTTGTTTTACAAGCGTATTTAATATTCGTTGCTAAGAGATAGTTTTGCCATTTTTGTTGTGTTTGTTTTTTCCTTTGTATTTTACGTTTTATGCACAAATGTTTTGTTTTGCAAAAAAATATTACTGCAATTTTTTTGTCGACTGTTTTGTGGGACTATCTGAAAAAGGGGGGTGGGGCAGCAACATGGGCCGGTATTCAGAGTCAGTCGCTCGTTTGTAGAGTTCGCACCCAGCTGTCTGTTGTGTGTTTCCCATTATTTTGGCGTATTCATCTTGAATGCCTTTTCCCTTCACCATTGTTGTAGTTTTTGCTGTTGTTATTGCTGTTTCAGTTATTCCGTATTTGTATTTCTATTTGGCGAGTGCGAGTTCTGCAATTGCAATGATTGGATTTTTATGAATACATTCATCAAAGCGCTTTGCCACTGCGCCAACTGGCAACCGGCAACCACTGGCAACCACTGCCAGGCACATTGGATTCCATACTTTTGGTACATGAATATTTTACTTGCATTCTTTTTCATGTAGTTGCACATGGGCTTCAGTTCATGTCTGTGTTTATCAGCGGTTTATATTGATGGCAACTGCAGCATGCGCTGATATAAAGCTAGAAAATAAAGCTGGGATTATTAAATCATGTTTGATTTTTAGCCCATTACAAATTAGTTCTTTTTAAATAACTCAATCACGTATATTCAGGGAGAAAAAAAACAATTTTGTGTTAAAAGAAAAGTTTAATATTGTAGAGAGCAGGCATAAAGCTGACATACGATGCAATTATTGCAAGCTGTAGCTATTTTCATACAGAATTTGCGGCTTAAATGTGATGTTGAGCATAAATCCATAAAATCTGAAAATCAAAATATGAATAGACAAATACAATGGTTGGAGCCCAAGTAATTGTACTTTGGGGAATAAATGGAATATCGGTCTTAAGCAGCACTTGGGCATAAAAATATATTACTAACTAGTTGTTTTGTCCAACTAAATATAATCAGTTGGAGATTTGCGTGCTGCCGAATATTTATCAATGTTCAAAGATAACTGTACATCAGTTTATCTCATTAACACTCTTGAAAAGTGTTGATCTTATCAAAATACAAGAAATGTGTATAAGAGATGGAGAGAGCGAGAGAGCGCTCGGTTAGACAGGCAAATATATGCGAGCAGCTCATTAGCCACGCGTTGCGCTCAGCTCATTAGAGCGCAAAGTTGAGAGCTAAGCTGAGAGAGAAAGTGGCCCCGTGAGTCACCTGCGCAAGACGCTGAGGCACATTTCAGTCGCTGGCCGTACGCTGAGCGGGTCAGACGTGTCAGGTGTGGGGCTACGCATATTGTCGCATAATGAGCGCCGCTTCCATACGCTCCTCTCTGAGGAGAACAAAGCATACGGCTCGCATTGTGATCATCGGCGCGGGCACAGCGGGCATTGCGGCAGCCACACGACTGCTGGAGCAGGGCTTCAAGCATGTACTGCTGCTGGAGGCCGAAGATCGGATAGGTGGACGCATTAATACCATTCCCTTTGCGGACAATGTTGTCGATCTGGGCGCACAGTGGTGCCACGGCGAGCGGGATAATGCTGTGTACCAGCGTGTCAAGGACTTGAATGTGCTCGAGGCCACAGAGGAACACTACGAGACCTTCAGGTGTTTGCGCTCCAACAAGCAGGTGGTGCCGGATGACATTGCAAATAATCTGAAAAACATTGCGTTTAATTCCATTCCGGAACGGCAAGCAGAGCTTGTGGACTATCCGGGCTCGCTGGGTGACTATATAACCAAAAAGTACTGGCAAGAGGTGGCCAAGCTGCCGCCAATGAACCGCACCATAGCCGAGGAGTTTCTGGAGAACTTTCACAAGTTCGAGAGCTCCGTGGAGGCTGCTGATCATTTGTACGAGGTCTCGGGCCGCGGGCATTTGGAATACTGGCTCTGCGAGGGTGAGCTGCTGCTCAACTGGCGCGACAAGGGCTACAAGAGCTTCCTAAAACTTCTAATGAATGCCAAGAAGGACGAGCCCGAAGATCTGGGAGTGCTCAAAGGACATGTGCTACTTAATAAGCGCGTATCGGAGATCAACTATCAAGCAGCCGATGAAGTAGTCATCCGTTGCTGGAACGGAGAAGTGCTGACAGCGGATCATGTCATTTGCACGGTGTCCTTGGGCGTCTTGAAGGAGCAGCATGCCAGCATGTTTGTGCCCGTTCTGCCAGAGGCCAAGGTGCGAGCCATTAAGGGACTCAAATTGGGCACCGTTGACAAGTTCTTTTTGGAGTACCCGGTGCCACCCTTGCCCGAAGACTGGCCGGGCTTCTGTTGCCTTTGGCTGGAGGAAGATCTGCAGGAGCTGCGCGCCAGCGAACGCTTCTGGCTAGAGAGTGTCTTTGGATTCTATCCAGTGTCATACCAACCACGCCTGCTGCAGGGCTGGATCATTGGCGAACATGCCCGCTATATGGAGACGCTCACCGAGCAGGAGGTGCTCGACGGGTTGCTGTGGCTTTTCCGCAAATTTGTGCCTTTCGATGTGCCGCATCCACAGCACTTCCTGCGCACCCAATGGCATGCGAATCCCAATTTCCGAGGCAGCTACACTTTTCGCACCACCTATGCGGACGAGCTGCGCACCGGTGCATGGGATCTGGAGGCGCCGCTGCTCGACGTTGCCGGCAAACCAAGACTGCAGTTCGCCGGAGAGGCCTCACACAAACACTACTACTCGACGGTGCACGGCGCCGCGGAGACGGGCTGGCGGGAGGCGGATCGCCTGAATACCTATTATCGCTCGCGAACTGCCCAGTTATGAGGGTCTGATAAGCAACTGCAAACAAAACGCGCGTGTCAATAAAACTTGTTCAACGACCACTAAATAGTCGAGTATTAGTTTAGATAATGATTCAAAATTATAAAACAGCGTGACAAACACTTGCATTTGGAATATTGATAGATACAAGTGCACTCTTTTGGGGCAAAGAAATTCTTTAAAATTGGATCTAGTAAAGAAGAAATGAGAACATTTTATGTCCGGAACTTTTGTATAGAAATGTCTTCTATATGAAGTTTAAGGTCTAGAAAAAGCAATTCTTTCCATTTTAATTTTCTGTCAGCTGACTTATCAAACATCACGAAAATTGTCCCTGCTTTAACAGAATGTTTTAATTCCACTCTTGGCAAGCGGTTTAAGCCCGAGTGGCAATGGCAAGCTGCTTGTGTGCGCATAGAAGGCATATTCATCTGAATGTGAAACAATTCCAGTGTTAGCCCATTTTAGTGTTTAACCCAAACATGTTGACCAACTCATTTGCAACGAGCAACCGCAGACAACAATGTAATTGCACTGTTATTACGGGCCACACACACGAGTGTGCTACGTACTTACTTCGGGGCGTGGCTGAGCACTTAACACATGCAAAGTCAAATAAGGACAAAAATGCAACTGCAAAAATCAGTTTGGCACATTCCGGCCCAGGCACACGAGGCACACAAACAAATACCACAACGGCGGAGGCGTGGGAAAACTCGAAAAACCTTAGTGGGCCGCACTGGCAAATGTTTTAACCATTGCCGCCCCACTAGAGCGCCGCCCGACAATGTTGAAAATTCAAATTTATGCCACGCAGAGGCCGAAAGGCATTAGGAGTCCGGTTTCATGTATTTGCCTGCCCGCCTCCAGGTCATATCTGCTCGCAGATTACCCACACAGTTACCATTACATGTGCGACTTTCAAAGACAGCTTCCCACTCCTCCCACTACCCGGCTAGTTGGCCACATCTGTTGTGGCTTTGGCCCAGCCATTTGGCAGCAGTTGCTACGTTTTGTGTGTCCAGCCAGTCGAATACGTGCGACAATCAGAGGGTGGTCTAGCCCTTGTTTGTCCGGTGAGGTTCGGGCCCAGCTTCACTGGCAAAGTTTTGGCCCTAATCAGTCCGAGAGAAATTTTTTTTTTACCAAAATTTCTCATCTATTTTCTCACACTTTGCAATTGTAATTTGTATTAGAAACTGATCTAGTTGGTGTGTTCTTTTCACTCCAAGTGAAAACAACGACCACCATACATTAATAATCCGAGGTGCTTCGGCTGTAGAACTCATTCAGCCGATCCGCCTCCCGCCATCCCGTTTCTGTGGCGCCATGCACAGTCGAGTAGTGGCTCTTGCTGGAAGCCTCGCCGGCAAACTGTAATCTCGGCTTGCCGCAAACATCGAGCAGAGGCGCCTCCAAGTCCCAAGGGCCGGTATGCAGCTCGTCCGCGTAGGTGCTGCGAAAGCTGTAGCTGCCACGGAAATTGGGATTCGCATGCCATTGGGTACGCAGGAAGTGCTGTGGATGCGGCACATCGAAGGGCACAAATTTGCGGAAAAGCCACAGCAACCCGTCGAGCACCTCCTGCTCGGTGAGCGTCTCCATATAGCGGGCATGCTCGCCAATGATCCAGCCCTCCAGCAGACGAGGCTGCTCCATTACCTTGTGGAATGCAAACACGCTCTCCAACCAAAAGTGTTTGGTGCCGCGCAGCTGCTTTAGATCCTCCTCCCTCCAAAGGAAATCAATGCCAGCCCAGTTCGGAGGCAAGGGTTGCACGGCGAACTCCAAAAAGAACTTGTCAACGGAGCCCAACTTTAGTCCCTTAATGGCTCGCACCTTGGCCTCTGGCAGGGCGGGCACAAACATGGTGGCATGCTGCTCCTTCAAGACGCCCAAGGACACCGTGCAAATGACATGATCCGCTGTCAATATGTCGCCATTCCAAAAACGCAGCACCAGTTCATCAACTCCTGCCCAGTTAATCTCGGATATGCGCTTATTCAGCTGGACTCGCCCATTGAGCATGCCTAGATCTTCGGGCAGACCCTCCTTGGCCTTCATGAGCAATCGGAGAAAGGTCTTGTATCCCTTGTCGCGCCAATGAATTAACATGTCACCTTTGCATTCGACAAACTCCAAATGACTGCGTCCCGAGAGCTCAAACAGATGATCCGATCCCTCTGTGCCACACTCGGCCTTTTTAAAGCTTTCAAACATCTCCGAAGCCGTGCTGCGATCCACATTTGGCAGCTTGGCAACCTCCTGCCAGTACTTTTGGGTCAGGTAGTCGCCCATAGAACCATCGTATGCGTTGGTCCCGGCTGGCAGACAGTTCTCGGCCGTGGTTCTCAACGTGTTGGCCATTTCTTGCGGGACAATCTCCTTGTTGGAACGCAGAAACCGGAAAGTGTTCATGAAGTCGCCAGTTTTGGTCACCAAATCCAAATCCTTGACTTGCTGATAGACTACATTGTCCGCCTCGCCATGGCACCACTGTGCACCCAGATCGATGACATTGTCCGCAAACGGAATGGTATTAATGCGTCCGCCAATGCGGTCCTCCGCCTCCATGAGGCTGACATTCTTGAAGCCAAGCTCAAGGAGGCGTGTGGCAGCTGCAATGCCCGAGGGACCCGCTCCGATGACTACAATGCGAGCTGTTTGCTTGGTCGTGTTCAGAAAGCGAGTGGGCGCGGAAACTGGACAAGTGGTCATTGTACTAAGGGATCAAAGATGTTCTGTGATGATGGCTATAGCGACTGCTATGGCCGCGCGAATGGAGCTCGTATTTATATGTGTAGAGAGGTGGCTTGCTTTTGCGAAGGGCCACTCGGGTTAATTGGTTTTGTTTCTGTGGTTTCTATTATCAACAGCTACATTTATATCTATTTAAATATTACCCTTATTTTGACATTGAGCTTGCTAAAATGTTTATTTTTTGTTTGCCTTTTAATATTTAATTCTATCTTTTTAATATGTCATGCCTTAAAGCTTGCTTGAAACTAAATTGATAATGCTAGAAACGAGTACAGGGTGTCTCACAGTTGGGCACGAAATGAAAACAAATTGCAAATGTCTGAGAATCGCATCCCAGCTGTTGCTTGGAATTTAGTTTCTGCGTGGATAATAATGCTGCATCACAGTATATAGAAAAACCTACGCAGTCGATTCATTTACAATATCTTGACCAATTTTATTACTTTACAACCATAATTTCCATAGCAGATTCCTGTCTATGTGTAAATGATTAATAAAAACATGAGTATATTTTTCATTGAATTTGACATTCAAACACAAGCTTCAAATTCAACTTGTGCTTCTTGATTGTCGTCTAACCGACAATTATCGATTGCTAACAATCGGCTCACGCCCATTTATATTTAAAAAATAACACAAAATTTTTAAAAAAGGTTTTCCGATTTTATTAGTTAACAAATAATAATTTCCATATTTAAGCATATTCCTTTGATTAACACCCAGACACAAGTTCAAGTTGAACTTGTGCTCAATTCTCGATTGCCGTCTAACCGATAATCAACGCTGCTTATATTCGACGTTTAACAATCGCGATACGCCCACCTCACGACGCATTGCGGCTGTTGTAATAGTCATTGAGGCGATCGGCCTCACGCCAACCGGTTTCTGTGGCGCCATGCACACAGGAGAAGTGGGACTTGTGTGTTGCCTCGCCAGCGAATTGGACGCGCGGCCTGCCGCCGGCATCAAGCAGTGGCGTCTCCAGGTCCCAGGGACCGGTGCGCAGCTCATCCGTGTAGGTGGTGCGCGAGCTATAGCTGCCACGGAAGTTGGGATTGGAATGCCATTGGGTGCGCACGATGTTTAGCGGTTGCGGCATGTCGAAGGGCAGGAACTTGCGGAAGAACCATTGCAGACCGTTGACCACCTCTTCTTCGGTTAGGGTCTCCATGTGGCGGGCGTGCTCGCCAATGATCCAGCCTTGCAGGAGGCGTGGCTGATGCAGAACACGATGAAATCCGAAAACGCTCTCCAGCCAGAAGCGTTCGGTGCCGCGTAGCTCCTCCAGATCGGCCTCAAGCCACAAGAAATTAATGCCAACCCAATCCGGCGGAAAGGGCATCGCAGCGTACTCCAAGAAGAACTTATTCACGGTGCCCAGCTTTAGTCCCTTTATGGCGCGCACCTTGGGAGCAGGCAGCGCCGGCACAAACAGCTGCTCATGGCGCTCCTTGAGCACACCCAAGGACACCGTACAGATGACATGATCCGCGGTGAGCACCTCGCCATCCCAACAGCGCAGCCGCAGCTCATCGGCACCTGCCCAATTGATCTCAGTCAGTCGCTTGCTGAGCTGCACACGTCCGTTGAGCATGCCCAGATCCTCGGGCTGTTCCGGCTTGGCATTCATGAGCAGCTTCAGGAAGGTCCTGTAGCCTTTGTCGCGCCAGTTGAGCAAAAATTCGCCATCGCTTTTTTCAAATTCCAAGTGCGCGCGTCTGGAGACCTCAAACAAATGATCCGAGGCCGTGAAAGAGCATCTTAACTTCTTCATGGTCTCCAGCATCTCTTGGGCAATTGTGCGATCCACGGCAGGCGACTTGGCCAGGATATGCCAATAGTTATTCGTTAGATGATCGCCCAGCGATCCGTTGCTTTCGTTGGGCCCCGTTGGCAACGCCATTTCTGCAGCTGCGCCCAGCACATAGGCCGTCTCGGCGGGCAAGATCTCCTTGTTGGAGCGAACAAAGTGCACCGCCTTCAGAACATCGCCAGTTCGGTCCAGAAGATTCAAATCCTTGACACGCTGATAGACCACATTTCCGCTCTCGCCATGGCACCACTGTGCGCCCTTGTCAATCACACTGTCCCCGAAGGGCACAGTATTAATACGTCCGCCCACGCGATTCTCTGCCTCCAATAGCCTCACATTCTTGAAGCCCTGCTCCAGCAGCCGTGTGGCCGCGGCAATGCCCGAGACGCCGGCTCCAATGACAACTATGCGCGCCGTTTGCTTCGTCTTGTGCGAGCTCATGTTTTTTTATTGAAATATTTTTCGCGTGACGACTTGATAGGTTCTACGTTCAGCCACTGACTGAGGCTGAGCAGCAACAATCCGACTGATTTATATATATGATCTGAGCTTAGCTCTCATTTAAAGCACGTTTTCCTCATCATTGAGAATCGCTCTCAGCTAATTATAGTTTTTGAAATTGCAGAGCAAGATTTTCTTGATTATTAAAATAGTGCAACAAGCTTCGATTACTATCAGCTATATAATTAAAAAATTAGGTCAAATCTATGAACTGCAAACGCACAGTTGATGGCTTTAAATTCTTCAAGTTTGACTGGGTTAAGATAGAAAATGTATGTACTCTTTATATCATGATTCTTGTTGGGTATCTTAATATATAAAACTATGACTGATTGATTAAGTATTTTTAAAATTCCATCTAGAGCTGTGGCTCAAGCTTATTTTCATTCATTAAGGACATATTTCATACTTTTCGACAAATCCACCTGCAAAGGTGGAATATTTATATCAGCAATTGAATGCGTTAAATTTGAAGGAAAACTTTTATGTGAATATCTTTTGCTTTTTATCAAAATCCGTTTTGCTTTAAAATCAGTTTAAACAATCTACGTAAAATGCATTGAAGACATTATAATGTCATATAATCAGTAAATATTTACATTCCGAATATTTATCCTCATTGGGATCAAAGTTTGAACGGATACAGTCAAATTTATTTCCTGGCTTGAGGTAGAAAACTGCGCCCGATCAAAGCTGGGTAACAAACGCATTATATATATTATATTAGTTAATATATATTATGCTTAATTCTGCCTTATATTCCCTTTCTTTATTATATATTTAATTACCCATACCCGTTTTAGTATGTTTGATGGATACAGTGCCTGCAAACTACACATGAAAATAATTGCAATTAAAATGACGTATACAATTATATATATTTAGTATAAAACAAGTTTGTTTGACCATGATTCTCGTTGTTGTTACTAGCTTAATCAGTTTTAGTTGTTGCTATTATAATTGTTGTTCCCCAGCTAGCAAGCGACACAGATTGCGGCATGTATTTGTTGTCAAGGCTAAGGTCAATGCTAGATAGAGAGTTTATAAATTCTAGTTTGATTTTTTCCATAAAAGTCTCTCTCTCTCTTCTGTGATTATGGTGCTGCTCTAAGCTTGTGTGATAAAAAATATTAAATAGAAATAAATATAATATATTCGTTTTTATAGAATTAGCTCCAAGTGCACGAGCTATGATTATGCTAATTGTGGTGTCAATGTTATTTTTATGCAAACCTTAATAGTTCATAAGTTTCTGTCTTTTATCTCATATCAATCAGTTGTTATTTTGCCTGACTTTTATCTTGGCCAAATTGTGGCAGTTTTACGCTTATCGGATAAGGGTATTTTATTTCGTGCCTCTTGCGGAGCGCTTATCGCTTGTCGCATTAAGACAAATGGCAACAAAAAGTAGTTAAAGTATTTCAAAATCGTATTGCTTTTGTTGTTGTTGCCCGTTGTCTTTGTTATTATTATGATTATGATTATGATTGTGGTTTGCCCTTATCATTGGCTCTCGTTTGCCTTTGCTGGCCACTTAGTTCGCTTGGGTTGGATTATTTGTGGTTTCTATCTTATCTGCATTTGGTTTTATTTGTGTGCATTAAGGCAATATTTGGCAAATGCAATTCAATCTTATTAATTAAATTACATAACCACAAAGCATTTAATATAAATTCGCTTATATTTCGCCATAATAGTTCCTTATCATACGCTGTCTCTGCGTAATGTGACCTATACATAAATGATTAATACACATAAGTTCTTAGTTCTAATTGCCCAAGTAAATTGCTGTCATGCGGCAAACGTTTGTGTTATTTATTTAATTAACAATTTCACAGTATATTTAAATGCCATTAAAATCAAATACTTACGGAAGTTCTTGATAGCTGATTTGGGCTTGGGCAGCTGAAAACTAGGATCCGGATTTTAATCTCAGGCTAGTCTATGAATCTTATATTATATTAGCCAAATGCTATAGAAGCTATTGCTTTTAAAATCATATACTTATATTAATAATCTATACATATATACAAACGTTTTTACTGGGTGTCTGACTGTGTGGGGAACAACGTGCAGATCAATACGTAAGAGACATGAGGTTGAAATTAAGATAGCACTAAGACGAGGCTTTGAAAAAGTCAAGTTCCAAATGATTGTTTTTTTAAAGAACATATTTTGAAATTTTTGTTTATGTAGTCTTTGAGGCTTGTGTTGACTATATTCGCCATAACTCTCGCTTGCAATTAAAAAGCTTTACACATTACATCTCGCCATTTGTACATTAAACAAAAACTCAATAGTTATAGGAAACATTCAATTTGTTGTTACGAAAAATGCAAATTGAATAAATATTAAATTTGCATATATTTACATAACGTTTTCAACGCAATGTTCCCCTTTCGACTATTTTGTTGTACACAGTATTGCAGTGCTGACATGGGTGAGAGCAAAAACAGAAACATTGCCACGAATACCACCAAACATGGTTACCACAACTACAACAACAACAACAACAAGAAGAAGAAGCATGCACAGCAACAAAAACAACATTACCACGAAACTAATGACCTACAAAATGAGTTGAACCCAAAACACGATGCGCTAGAGGATGTTGCAGGATATGAAGCCGAGGAGCAGGAGCAGGAGCGACATGTGGCCAACGATGAGGCAGGGCTTGTCGCTGACAATGTGAACAGTAAAGTTAGCAACGAGGAGACCTCCACATCGGAACAACAGCCCGATATTATACCCTATCCGCTGAGCGTGGGCGAGACCAGCTGGAAAAGCGAAAAACTACGCAGACAGCAACAACAGCAACAACAACAACAACAACTACAACAAGAGCGTTGGATTCGCACATAGCGTAAAATGAGACTTGAACATTTCCCAAGCAAGCGTTGAAAATTGATCAGTTGAGCGTTAGAACTTAAGATTTGTACAGCATAGCGATATAAATGTATTTTGAATTATTGGAAAATTGAGATTAAGCTTGTAAAAAAATAACAAAAAAACTAAAATAGTTGCTTGGGAAATGGTTTAGGATTTGAGCTAAATGAGCACTAAGTGTAAGTATGTGGATAATTATCAGATGGGGAAAAAAACCAGAAAGACAAAATATGAAATACCTAACAACAGACAGGCAGGCAAACACTACGATTCTGTATTTTGTAATCTTTGAGAGGTAAATAAATGAATAAATAAATCTTAAAATACGGCATTAATATGTATTTTTGCGAGCACATATTCAGAAAAATTGCTTACAATAAAATTACAAATCTATCAAAATTGCAATTAACTATAAATGTTGGCAAAGCTATGTGAAAAACTGCCCGAAAGAATAATCTAATTTTAATATATAGATGTACAATAAATGGCTTGCTTTTCGGGTGTATCCAAGCGTTATTTGATCGAATGAAAACAAAAAAAAAAACAAAACTAAACAAAATAAAACTGAAGAGTTACATTGTATGTTTCAAATATAATTGTGCTATATACTCGCTTATATCCAGATGCTTATGTAAGTGTATTAAAGACTCTGCTTGAAAAAAAAAACACATCAGTTAAATTTACCAAGTATTAAACAGTTGAAATAGAGTATATATATGCGAACATTGGGGTAACAATATTTGATCCCACTGTGCTTAACTTAAAAGCCTAATTGCTCTCCAAAACATATCCCAACAAATATATCTCAACCGTGTGCTATAATTTTTTGGTAAATTGAAAATTGAAAAACAAAGAAAAATTTAAATAAAAAAAAAACACCAAAGCTTGTGCATACTCATAACCCATATCAATTGTATCGATGTAAGTTAATTACTAACTACAGAATCTTAGGTGAGGATACACTAAATATAAAATATATATTAAAAAAAAAACAACATTATGAAAATAACAGAAATTTAATTAATTACTTGACGCCGTTTGACTAAGCTGCCTTTGTTAAGTTTTCGATCCATTTGTTCCATTGCTTTTGCCATTTCTCCATGCCCGTGGACTTCTCCTTATCCGTGAGCCCGCTGTACCGAATGGAACTAACTGCCAGGTGCTTCAGCAGCTTTAGATCTGCACTAAATGGCGCAATGCCCAGGAATGCAAAGTAGAAGTCATGTGTGAGGGGCGTGGCACGCCAGAAGGACGGATCATCGGATGCGATGACAATGGGCACATCATTCGCTATCAACATGGCAGCCGGATGATTGCGATAGTCCTGGCCCAGCTGCAGCACCTGATTCGACACCGGGCATACCTCAATGGCAATGTCCAGTTTCTTGACCATCTCAATGGCCAGCGGATGCTTGACAATCGCATAGCCATGCCCGATGCGCTTCGTGCCGAGCAGTATGGCATCTATCAGATTCTCATCGATGGAGGTGCCGAACCAGTTCGTTTCGCCGCAATGAAAGTAGAAGTTTATATCCTCGGGCATCTTGAGCAATGGCTCCACGAAATCAATTAGTGGACGGCCGAGCTCCTCCTGGCCCACCAAATCGAAGCCTGTCAAAAATGTGGGAAATTCTTTCTGCAATATGCATTTGTATTCAGTTAGAGTATTTAAAGATTCCCTATTCACTTACTTTAAGTGCAATGCATTTCTGTACATACTCATCGACAACTTTTGGTTCGACGCCCCGCAGTGGCGCATAGATGAGCCTGGCACCAATAAAATCCGGATTGTTGGCCATAAAACGTTCCGTTTCCGATTTATATATAGACACTGTGTCGGCCATCTTCAGAGGCGCGCCATCCAAGCAGTAGAGATCTGGTAGCAGGGACCTCAGCTCCAGATACTGCACACCATCCGCATACATCTCCGTCAGGGCATTGTAGTAGTATTCGGCCCAGACGGGCGCATAGAGCAGCAGCCCATCGAGCAGTATGAAAATGCTCATGAACTGGTTCCAGGCCTGATTGTTGGACAGAAAGCTGGAGAACGGATACATGCTGAACCTGCTTTGCAGATACTTTTTCACATTCTCTTCGCCGCGACGCTCACGGAAATCAGCCATGGGCTCCCAGTTGCATTCCTCCATTGCCTTCATTGTGGGCTTCGATTCGGAAAACCGAAATGCAATTGCCCGGCAGCCCTCGTCCGCGGTGCATATCCACAGATTCTCGCGGTAGGTGAGCCCAATGAGGAACTCGGTGCTGCAGAGTGCAGTATCGTGGGCATGCAAAATGCCGCCCTTGGGCATTGTCTTCAGCAGACCAAACAGCGGCGATCTCTCCACCTTCTTGAGCACCTGGAATATGTGCTGGCCAGGTGTGAATTTGGACGGATTCAGAAAACCCTTCTCCAGCTCTTTGGACTTGGCTGCCATCAACACCTTATTGGCGGCCGACTCTTCATCCGTCAGTTGCATACTGTTGCCCAGACTGGAGGCGCGTTCCATTTGGATCATAACGCTGCGCAGCGTGGAATACGCCTCGGGCGTTATGTCCCTCAGACTGCGGCTCATCGATAGGGTCTCGTACTTCTTCTTGCCACATCTGGCCGACTGACCCGACATATGGCGCAACGCTCGCATTAACAGGCCTGAGGACATTTTGGTACAAATTTTGTCGGCACTTTTCTTTTGTATTTGTTTTTTTTTTAAGTTTGTTACAATATTTGAGTTTAAACTGAAAATCGTGTTGAAACATTGCGCACATTTGTCAATGTGATGCATATTGCCGGCGGCTCACGCATTTCCGCTTTAACACACACATGATTCGACACCCACACACTCACACACACTCAGCCCATTCGACAACTATACGCGGACTTTATTAGTTATTTATGTGAATGGCTCTGGTTTTTTATGCCCGCGCGCCCTCAACACCACATTAAATGTGGCCGTGCCCAACATCAAATTGATGAGCCTGCCACAGGCTGTGCCACCATTTTGCGCCCTTTGAGTACACACACACACACGCAGATACATGGCCATCAATTTTATGGGCTCATACATATTCGGCCAGGCGTAAGCCTAACCTAACTCTGCCCTGACATGGCCCGTAACGCGGCATCGAATGCATTTTGCGCTGGCCCATAAAACTCTGCTGATTACGCGCGCTCAAATCAAAATCGAACCGTGGCCGTCGTCGTTGCCACTAAGCAGGAGCACGTAAAATTGATACATTTGGAGCACTGTTCAAAGCAATCATTGGGGTCCTGCAAGGCATACCACATTCATTAAACATCGACCACTTTTCTGTGCACTCACCAGCCCTCTGAGAGACTAAGAGATTTATGCCCAGGTCGTATGTCAGCCTGCCAAATGCAGTGCCCGGCATATTACTTAGAGATGCAACTCAGATTACGTGGAAACTGCTTCCACGGCACGCTATTAATCGGTAAGTGCGGTATATCTCGGGTGAAATAGATATAAAAATCGTTTTATGTTCATTTCAAAAATGCACGTTATCATAATGTTACTCTCTATGAATGGGCCTAAAATGGGAACTAAAAGTTTAGTTGCAATAGTTAAAATAAATATAATCAGACCCAAGCCTCATGGTAAATCTGTCCTCTTGGCAATTGATGAAATCTTTAAATTGAAAGATTATTTTTCAAAGCTCGTTGCAAATTTAACGTGCACTTTAACATGATGTTGCCTTCATCTTGGCAAAGCCCAACCTATATTATTCTTATAGTATATTTGTCCGCCTGACACCTGTCATGAACCTTACAACGAACATAATAGTACGTGCCTCTGCCTTGTGATATAAGATTCTTATCGCCAGTTGAAGAGAGAGTTTCATAAGTGGTTTATTATGACTTTCACGTTACCATCTCCAGGCGCGGGCATGACAAAGCTTGACTGCACTACTCATTACATTTATCCTAAGAGTTGCTTTTAGCCGAGTTGCATATGAATTGCGGCATTACGAGCAAGTAAGCCGAACTCTTTATTCAAAGGTTTTAGTACAAAAGCTTATAAACAGATCAATTAAAGTGCGAAATCTCTTATGTACTTAACGTGGAAGTCGAGTGTGCAGAAGAACTTAACAATATGCCTAAACACTAATCAATATTAATTAGCTTAAAACGAAATAGCGTACGGGATATGAATTCGGATGAAAATGTTCGTGAATAGGAAGCCAGTGTAATAGCCGTAAGAGCCGAATACACTGTGCCAGAGCTGAGTATAAACGAGGCATCCGGTGCCAATGTCCTCGTCGTGTAAGATAGGTCCGCTTGAAATCGGAGGGAGTACAGACTAGCGCCAAAGGCCGGCGTTCAAAAGGGAGAACATAACCAGAAGCGCTGCCACCACCCGTGCTAGTCAATCGAGGTGTTGACTGGACGCACTGTTCGGCTGGACGTTGTTCACGTAGTCCAGGAACTCGTCCCATTTTGTCTGCCATTTGGAGAGCGCATCGATCTTCTGATCGACGGTGAGGGAGCTGTACTGAATGGAGTTGAGTGCCAGCTTCTTGAGCAGCCGCAGATCTGCATGCTGCGAGGCGATGCCCAGAAAGGCAATATAATAGTCATGGGACAAAGGTGTGGCCTTCCAGAAGCTCGGGTCATCGGAAGATATGACGACGGGATAGCCATCGGCAAAGAATTGAGAGCAGGGATGATTACGAAAATCGCTGACCAATTTTAGCACCTGATTCGACACGGGATTGACCTCAATGGCCACATTCATCTTTCTGACCAAGCTCAGCGCGACCGGATGCTTGACTAAACCGAAACCATGACCAATGCGCTTGGTGCGCAGCAGCAGAGCATCGATCAGATTCTCATCGACAGAGGATCCATACCAATTCGTTTCGCCTGCATGAAAATAGAATTCTATATCCTCTGGCACTTCCAGCAGCTGATCAACGAAATCTCTGAGTGGACGGCCCACATCCTCCTGGCCAACCAAATCGAAGCCCGCCAAGAAGTCCGGGTACTTTTCCTGCAACACGGGTAAGAGATTAATTCCCTTGCTCAGCTAGAGAGAATCAGGTACACTTACCTTAACCTGCTTGAGGGTTTCAATGTAGCGTGCCACGCCCTCGGCGTCGGTATTGCGCAGGGGCGCATAGATCATGCGCGAACCTATAAAATCCTTGTTCTCCGGCTGGTTCTTGAACTTCTCTAGGGTTTCCACATAGATGCGCACAGTGTCCAGCGGTGTAAATACAGACCCTTTCAGATCGTACAGCTATGGAAATGGGCACATTTATGATGTAGACATTTTTATTGACTTATCACAACTTACTGTGGGAAGTGTGGAACGGAATTCCAGATATTGAACACCATCGGCCGAAAATTCCTGCAGCGCCTTGTAGTAATAATCGCCCCAGACCGGGGCATACATAAGCAGACCATCCAGAAGTCCGAAGATTTCCATAAATCTAGACCAAGCTGCATTAATATCCTGAAAGTCTGTGGTCGGATACAGGGTTAGACGCTCGCCCAAGTAGGCGTCCACCCTCTCTGCGCCGTATTGGGCGCGCACCTCGGACAGCAGGTTCCAGTCGCAGTTGTCTTCGGTCAAGGGCGTGGGCTTCTCCTCAGCAAAGCGCAGAGCTGAGGCACTCAGGTCGCCAGCCTGCTGGCAGATCCACAGATTATCATAATAGGTCAACTCAATGATGGCCTTGGTGCTGCAGAGCGCCGTGTCATGGGCATGCAACACCGCACCCTTGGGCATGTGCTGGAGCAGCTGGAACAGCTTTGTATTATTGATGGCCTCCAGCACATCGAAGATGTGTTGCGAAGGCTTGAAGAGATGCGGCGTGATTTCGCCCTGCTCAATCTCAGCTAGCTTGGCCTCCATTATGGTCGCGTTCGCCTGCAGCTCACGCGTGTTCAGCTCCACGTCGTAGCCGAGCGCTCTGGATTCCTCGTAGCGGAAGAGGGCATTGCGCATCGTCCTGTACGTATCCGGACTGGGTCGGTTGTCGCCCAGCAATATTTCCACGTGCGACGTGCCGGCGCTGTAGAGCGATACGAATTTCGTGATGGTCAGATCATTGGGCCGCGTGCGTGACTCAGACGGGCCCAGAGATAGGCAGAGGCACAACAGCACGATTAGATTAGTTGGCTGTAGCATTTTACAGATTTATCGTGTGAGCGTGAATCGCGAATCGGGAATCGGGAATCTTATGCGTGTGCGTCAATGTCCGCGGTACAACTGAGAACCGGGCCCTTGGTACTGTCCAGTTTTATTGAGCAGTTTCGCGTGCCGTGCGACCTTATCTATAAAGAGTGAAACCGATTTGAGTGCTTTGGCATTATCTTTGATTTAACACGTGTTTCTGCATATGGGCGATTGCTGAAAGCCAAAAGATCTGATTGAATACATTTCCTGCGCGGCCCACATCTCAGGCACAGGTTCAGCTGGCAACGGGCCCTAATCAACGCCAATCAGACAGGAATCTTGATTTATGAAAGCCAAAGATTAGATTACGTACGCCATTATAAGTACGTTAGTAAAGCCCGGTACAGTAGTTCACACATAAACTCAAGTGCAATAGACCACATACATATTTTATGGACCTTCGATGACTGTTCAGGCAAGTACAATAACCGCAGCTCAAACAAATATCGAATTGAAGGAAATATGTTATAAAGCACTTCAACAAAAAACAAAAAAAAAATGATAAAAACCAATTATCATACAAAGTGCTTTGGTCGGCAGTGCCCAACTAAAAAATACCCTGAACCTAGCGCTGGGCTGTCACTAAATCGAAAACCTTTTATTCTTGTATATATACATGTTTACGCAGAGGCTTCGCCTAGCTCTGAACTTCCTTTAACTTAACTTCGTAGTGCATAGTCCGATCTTTTTGATATTTTCAATACCCAAATATAGCAACCTAAATGCTGTACCTCAAAAAATTGTATATTCCTGTAATATTCGATAAGATTGTTAAGCTCTTATCGAGAATATATTTCAAATATATGCTCCAGTCCAGACCAGGATTAATCAGATCATTCAGGCAGACATGGCTAGATAGATTCAGATCAACATTCTGATCAGGAATATATATATGCTCAACAAGTTCAATGAAGCTTCGTTCTGCCTGTTTCATATGCGTATTATCCATTTGCACTAGGTTCAGGGTACAAAAATAGCAATTGATAGAAACAAAAGCTAGCTAGATAGATAGAGAGAGAGAGAGAGAGAGAGAGACGTATTTTTGAGTAGGGTAGTATGTAGATTTCTATAATATCTTCAACAATCAATTTATCAAAATTTGTAGAGCACGCCAAATTATAAATATAAATCCCCTTAACTGTGGCTGATAAAGTTCGCCACCCATTGATCCCAATTGTTATGCCAAATGGACAAAGCCTTTTGTTTCTCATCCCCGGTTAGGGCGCTGTACATAAACGAGTTCATGGCCAGCTGCTTGAGCAGACGCAGATTGCCCTGTCCATTAGCAATGCCAACAAATGCCACATAGAAATCATCGGTGAGCGGTGCCGCATTCCAGAAATATGGATAGTCCGAGCCAACAACGATGGGATAGCCAGCAGCAATCAGATACGCCGCCGGATGTCGACTAAAATCGTTCACATACTGCAGATAATAATTGGACAGTGGACACACCTCGGCGGCCACCTTCAGCATCCTGATGGCCTTCAACATTTCCGGATGCAAAGGCAAATTCAATGAGTTGCCCAGTCGCTTGCTGCCCAGCAGCAATGCATCAATGATATTTGTATCTGGCGCAAGTATTGTGGAATTCAAACAACGCGATTCTCCCGCATGGAAATAAAAATCGATTTCCGAACTGATATGCAAGAGCTGCATTGAATTTCCAAGCGGCTCCATATTGCACTCATCTCCAAAGCTGATCAGATCGAAGCCAACGAAAAAGCTGGGGAACTTGGCCTAAGGACAAAGATACAGTTCAATGGCAGCTGAAGAAATGTAAATTCCTAGTAAAAATCTTCTTTCTAAGGCAGCTGTTCTTCAACTTTTAAAAGATTTTTTTTTTCGAATAGCTGAGAAAGCCCGCTATTGTGCCTAAAATTCTTAACAAGTTAAAGAGGGAAGAAGAATCTTGCAGACCTGTAGCCAGATAGACAGACGGACAAGACTATATCGACTTGACTATTGCTGTTTCAGACATATGATCAGGCATGGATAGTTAAAACAACTTGAATCGCAAGAAAATCATAGAACAGCCTACCTTTAGAAGACGGGCATTTTCTATATAGGTGTCCATAGTGCTGTCATTGTAATCCCGCACTGGGGCATAGATGAGCTTGATGCCAATAAAATCATCGTGAGTGGATCGGAATATGTTCGTAGCGGTAACAAGAGAATAGGCCGTATCCCAAATGGTATAGTTAGTGCCAATCAAATCATACATCTGCGGGAGCAGGTGGCAGTTAAATATACATATAAGATCGTGTAGAACAAAGAACGCCCGCTAGCTACTCACAATTGGCAGCGAGGAGCGTAGCTCGACATAACTGACGCCATCGGCATAGAAATCCTCGAGCATACCAATCAAGAAGGTGGGCCATATGGGCCGATATGTGATCAAGCCGTGGATGAGACGGTGCGCCCGCCTCATGTGATTGGCCAAATGGGTGGCGTTCATGAAGCCATGAGCATCAATGGACAGACTTTGGCGTAGCCTCTGGATGTATGAACGATCGTACTCCATTCGGATGGTGCTCATTTGCATCCAGGTGCATTTGTAGTTACCCTGCGGCTTGATTTTCGGATACGTTTGCGAGAAACGAAAGTCCTCAAAGGTACCATCGACACCCACACAGGTCCACAAATCAGAGTAGTTGGTTAGCTCAATGAGCAGATCCGTCTTGAACATGCCCGCGTCGTGCACGTGCAGCAGCCCGCCCTTGGGCATGCTGCGCAGCACACTATAGAGATCTGTCTCATTGAATTTGTACTTGGCTAGAAAATGCGGCCGAGGTTGATAATCGCTCCAGATGTGATGCAGTTCTTCGTCCACCTGCTTAATGGCCAGTAGACGCTCATTGGCAACTTCTTCAAGCGGGTTCAGCTTCACTTTGCCGCCCACGCGACGCCGCCGCTCCCGCATCAGAAAGTCCTGACGCAACCTGGCGAAGCGCTGTTCCGGCGAGCACGAGTAATAGTCAACGCTTAAATATACTGTCCATACCAGCGCCAGTATCATTGTGCTGATCAATATGATCAAGCTGATATGCCAGCAAATGTTGGCGTATTTGGCGCTACGATCCGGATTTAAGTCGTCGCCATCATCGCTGGGAGTTGGCCGCGCGGGCGCATTTTCCGCACGCCGGATGGGATTGCGGTGCGGGCATTTCGGAAAGCTGAATTGCCATTTACCACTTCTGGCTGCCATTACCAAAAATTTTGAGCTACAAAAATTTTCGAAAAATTTTCAGAAACTGTACGTACGACTTGTATGCGAAAAACAAATCATGACTGGGTCTGGGACTTCCAAATCGGACTCAGTTGACTGGAAAAGCAAAGTTCAATGTTTCGACTGGTAAGTCGGATGATCTTTTTAAAAAGAAACCCAACAACAATGAGATTATCTCGATCAGTACACTTAAAACTCTATCTTCTAGGCCTTCGCCTTGGCGTCATTGCCATGGTTGCCATATGTCCGCACATATTTATCATGTGGCAACTTCTGCCGCTCTTTAAAAATAACCCAAACACCCAGCGAGCGATAAAAGGCAATCGAAGTGCGATGGCCTTCGCTTGAAGTAAAAAACAAGAGCTCTATAAATGGGAGTGCCTGGCTAAAAAATACCCTGAACCCATCTCCGATTATGTTTCGAATTCGGGGGTAATGAGCAAAGTGAAATATTCCTCATCCATAAAATAAAGTACTCTGGTTTTTCTTATATCATTTTATCTTTGAGAATTGGAAAAAGATATCGAAAACGGTCAATTTGTTCTGTATTTAAAATACAAAATTATATATTCCAAATTTCTAGCTTGTAGCAGCTTGTCGCCCAACTCAAGGGCATATAGTTTGTCTTGGATCTGGTCTTTGGCCTGTTACATCGACTTGCACAGAACTATTATACCCTTCTTACCCATCACCGATGATTATAGGGTTTGAAAACAACTCGGAGTACGGACTTTGGGCGAGCGTGTGCCTGCCAGGGGTTGCATTTATTTTCGTAACGCCAGCAGCACCACTGCGCCCACCACCAATAGCACCAACACCACCAACAGCGGCACTGTGGTGAGTGTGCGATGATTTAATGATTGAAAATATCTTTATCTGAGTATTTATGTATAAACAAGGTATAAATATATTATACAGTATAAGTCATATAATTGATGCATTAAAAATTGTATAATGCTTTTAAAAAAACGTATGGAATATATATTCTTAATCTTGACAAGCTGAGTCGATATTGCTTTATACGTCTATCTGCCTGTTCCCATGAAAACAATTTTTTGAGTTCTTAAGATACGTCTTTTTGCTGCAGCTAGATTAAGATAATAAGGCAAAGTTTAATAAATTAGTTTAAAAAAAAATAATAAAAACTAAACAAATAGAGAGAAGACGTTCGAATTGGACAACTCACATTCTTGTTACGAAGTAACCCTTAGGGTTGAAAATCTTCCATATATTTCAATCCCAAAGTAACATAGACGCGATCTTATATATATAAATTCGACATGTCCCATAAATTTAATCAAGGATATTAAAGTTTTCAATTTCCAAAAAATAAAATCCCGCACACTGTGCAAACTGCTGCTTGCAACAAATGCTCAGTGTATGAGTTGTCGGTGGTGTCGATTTCGAAGCCACATGCAACGCATGCGACGCATGCCACACAGCTGAAGTCGCAAGCGGTTCTTAGCAGCTGATTGGGACCGTGATTCAAAACGGGGGTTGCGCCCGGCACAAGTAGTATGCAGCAGCGGGAGACAGCAAAGGCAAAAGCGACTCGTCAGTTGGAAGTGCGTACTTGCCGAGGCAGCACAACGAAATGCAGTTAAGGCAACACGGTAAGCCATACACACACATCCTGTCCAGCCCAAAGCACAATTGAACAATTGAACTCGTCTACTTCCGCCGCCGCAGCTACTGCCACCTCTTTGGAGACGCTCAACGATGACTGCCTGCTGCTCATCTGCGCCCAGCTCGCAATTGGGGATCAGTTCGCGCTGCTGCAACTGGGCGGCAGGCTGCGGCAGCTGGTGCTTGCGATTTGGCGGCGCAAATACGCCATCGCATTCGATTGGCAGCGTGAGCCGCAATTAAAATGCCTAAGCGCCCGCGAGCAGAGCCAGCTGCTGGGGCACATGAGTCGGCTGACACGGGCGCTGCTTAATCTCAGCGTTGGCGAGCACTTGCCGGCCTGGCTGAGTGGCAGCTTGCAACGGAAACGGACACGGAAGCGCATACGCATGCCACACATGCAAAGGCTTAGCTTTAGGGCATGCAGCTCGGCAGCGCTGCTGCGGCAACTGCCTCGAATTTGCGAAAACCTTGGCCAGCTGCAGCTGGGCGCCTTTGACAGGCTGACGCCCGCGGAACTCTCCACGCTCTTTGCCCAGCTGCCACGTCTGAGTTTGTTTGAGCTGCTGCCAGGCAGCATCTGTGGCGCTCCGGCAGCAGCCTTGGCCGACATTGAATATTGCCAAACGTTGCAAACGCTGAAATTGCCGGCGTGCGCGTTGCGAGCGGCGGGCACGCAAATAGCACGAATGCCGCAGCTGCGCCAATTGACAGGCTTCCTCTGCTCCAACACCTGCCTCAGCAGCAGCAACATTGATGACGACAAAGCGCAGCCAAATGCTGGCACCGTGGCCACAGCGACCATATCCGCTTGCCTGACGGCGTTGAGCGTTGGCAAAGGTGGTGCTGGTGGTGTCGCCTGTCAAATTGTGGGGCTGCATTTGCAATGCCAACTTGATGCCAGGCTGCCGCGACTCCTAACCGGCCACCTGAGTGTGGTGCGGCTGGAACGCTTCGCTTGGCACTCACAGCTGATGGTGCACTATGATGCCACCGATGGCAGCATCAAGTGGCTGCCGCAGGCGCCGCAAGTGGCGTCCGCTATGCTCCGCTTTATTGTCAGTCAGGCGGCGAGCTTGCGTGAACTGGATTTCATGCGTAATGTGCATGCCACGCCCACATTTCTTAAACAACTTACCGAGCAATTGGGGCCACCCAGCGAGCTCCTGGCTGTGTGGCATGATGCCTGCCCCAGGGCCCGGATGTCAGACGAGGAAACGGATAAAGACAGCAGCAGAAACGACTTGGCGTTTGTGGAGTTGGAATTGAAAATGTTGTCTAATGAAAAGGCGAACTGTTGATAGGCACAAAGGGATCCAATGTAGGACATCAAAAACGTATTATTGACTAATAGTTGGATTTATGTAAATGTTTTGTAAAACTCTAGACTATAGTAAAGAATATATTAAGGTATTAAGCTAAGATAAGAGAAACTTGTGGATGATTTTTAATTTTAACACAAATTAGATGGTATATGTCAGCTGACTACTTATTAATACCCTGTACGAAGTTTAAGAGTACATATGATAAAAGATACACGCCTTTTAGAAATTGACAATGTTTACCTATTTGATTAAAAATTCGAATATAACTTGGACCTGTCAACAAAATCAAGTTCTAATATTATATAATAATATTTTTAAGTTATTAAAATGTATAAACATATTAATATTTATAAAAATCACAGGGTATATTTCAGTTGGCAACAACATTTTTGCCATCAAGCTTAGACCAGCTTAGCTCTATACGTAAGGGAAAAGTTGTCTTCGTGTTTAGTTATCAAAATTCACTGCTTACAGTGAATACCCTGTACAAAGGTGTAAGGTATTGAAGATCCAGCAAATTTGGCTATTTATATGAGAAACTTTTACTCATAGCAAAATTTGATTTAGTTTACTTTTCATAAATGTAGTTAGCTCTGATTCTTGTGTTCTTTAGACGCTCATTTCTTAAGTTATTTAGTTTTGACATCGATATCCACAAATTTATTTTAAATTTTGATAAAAATGCCAAAACGTTTTTAGCACGATTAGGGAAACAAAATTTTGCGTTCAAACTTTGCAGGGAAGAGTCGCAGCGCACATTTGAAATCCATATTTTGATCGACGCGTGCCGTTAAAATAGATCGCATGTAAGTACTGCCCGGAGAGGATGCATCTTAAACTGCCATCTGTAACACCAATGTGTAAGATATGTCAATCTCTTCCCATGGACACTGTTAGAAACTCTGTGCTGCTGCCCGATGAGCTCTACATTGCTTTGAGTCGATTCCTAAGATATCAGCAGGAGCAGAATAAGGCTGCCTCGTGGCGACATTGCTCTGAAAGTGACTCCGATGAGACGCTCGACGCAGCATACGTAAAACACACCTGTCACAAAAACTATCAACCTATAATGCGTTCGAATAAACCTAAAGATGCAACTGATCCAACGCAACGCAAACCCACGCCGAACAATCTCCAGGATGTGCCAGAAACAGCACCGCAATTGGTAGGTGTTTAAATTAGAATACTAAATGATTCTCCCTCTCTCTCTCCGTCTCTCTCTCTCCCTCTCTCTTCTTTTCAAGCAGCCCTATCAGCAGGAATTTTGGAATACAGTGCAGCCTCAGACGTCCAGCATAGTGCGCCATCCGATCGATCGTCGCGCTCGTTCCTTGAGCGCTCCGGCTTCTCGCACGGAATCTCAGCGCGATTGCATTAGAGGCGTTGATAACTTTGTGAGTATCGAAACAGAAAATGGAAAGTTCGTGCTTAATCAAATACCTTTAACTATATAGTGCCACGTTCAACCAGAAAAGCCAATTAATTACCTGGGCTTGCAGCCAACTGGTGCCTACGTAAGCCATTTACAATACTCGTATGAACATATTACACATTACAATGTAATCTAATCTCTAACAGGGACAGCCAGAACAGCCAAAGCCAACAATACCAGCCAGGGATTGCTCAGCGGTAAGTCGATCCAACAAAATGCAAAAAATAAACACAATGTAAAATGCATGCTTAAATAGCATCTATGTTAATACCAAAGCCAAGGCCTGCCTGCTAAATTTTCTATGTATAGACTCTCTTATAGACTTTGATTTGTGCATAAATTCAAAGTTAGCGAAACAATTTTTATCGATATTATGAATAGGGGACGAGATACTGTTCTGCGTATGATATCTAGAAATATATATTTTAAATTTTAAGTATTTAGCTGTTGCAGTTTGCGAGTTCGATGCGTCGTCCTGCTCAAGAACATATATCATATAATAGTTATTTCCTTAAAGTATGTCTAGCTTTAGCTTAGCATTCAAAAGTACTGATTAAGCTAATATATTTTTTTAATATTCCGCTCAAGAGTCAGCCTAGTCTTCCAGTAAAGCCCTTAACCATTAATTTTCGTTTTGGCCTTTGTTTCCCAACAGTGTCCCAATAGGTCTGGCAATGTGAATACCTACGATCCGATGCGGCCACAATTGACAAATCAAACGAGTGACACCGGCTTTGACCTGAGCTATGAAAAATGGCTGCGACAGCAAAATCAGAGACAGCAGCAGCAGCAACCGGGCTATAGTACGTGGCAAAGGAACGATCAGAGCTTGGATAATTTTGTGAGTAGCTGTGCAAAAACTTGACTGCTAACGACAACCCTCATGAGCTGGGTGCATCCTTTGATTAGGAGCCTGCGCTGAATAGCACCATGATTGCCGGCAGGGCGCCTTCTAAGCGTACGTCCTGCGCAAATGTGCGGCAGCAGCAGCAACAACAACAACAACAACTGCTGCAGCAGCAGCAGCAGCATCAACAACAACAGCTGCAACAGCAGCAGCGGATAGCAACATGTAAGTCTTCCGCAATAGTCTACGATCCGAATCAGGGTCAATCATATCCCGCATGTTGCATGAAACAAAGGGTAAGTTAAAGTCGATTTTGCCCTAGATAACAGCATACACTTTATTATTCTTTACTTTCTTTATACGTTACAATCTAGCAACCGGTTTCAGTTCCCAGTCAGGCGCAATATCCCTGCCAGCAAAGGCCAGCAACAGCTATGGATATGCAGCGTCAGCAGGCACAGGTAAGCGCAGGTATCTAATGTAAATGTTGGCCTCTTATTAGCATCAGATCACAATAAAAGCAGTGTGAAATGCTCGAATCGTACGACACTACGAACTATATTCAAATGCCCCCGGCACAGCCACAGAGGCCGCCCTGCTTGAGGCCCAATGTTCAGCAGCCAACCAATGTGAGTAAAAGCAATTATTTTCGGCATGCCGAACTTTTAATACCCTTGCAGTCATAAGCTCATATGTATAATAATAAGGCTTCTAGTTTTCGAGCTGAGTGAATACATCTTGAAAAAAAGAAAAGCAAAGTCGTCCATAGAAAACTCACTATTTGAACAAGTTGTCCTATAGAGAGCTGATAATATAATAGTCCAATGTTGATAATATTTTGCTCAGCGATAGTATATATTCATAGATTTATATAATGTTCCGATATAGATACAATGTTGCTTATTTGTGAGGAGTGTAGTTTTGCCAATAGCAGGTTGGGTTAAAAAAACGAACATGCTTTTCAAACAAGTACTTAAATATTGATAAATCGCCCTTATAGAGTTATATGTTATAGAAGTCTACTCTAAATAACGTTTTCATCATATGTAAAGGGTATTTTGAAACTAAGAAATGCTGAATCCGGTTAAGAGAGACGAGACTAGTTTCGTATAAAAAGAGACAGACAGGAGATGACTATATCGCATAAGTTCTTACATAAGTTCTACTGGGCAAGCGAATATATTTGATATGGACTCGGAGACATTTCCTTCCATTCATTCATTTTATTCCTGTAGAGGATATATATAGATATATATAGTATATATACCTATATATATATTCCAATAATTCCATCCAACTTTAAATATGCCATAGGTCACGTTCAGCGATCAATATATGATGGCTTCAGCTGCGAGTAGAACTCAACCGAGTGACAATTTTGCCAGCGATAGTTGGCCAAGCACGAGCCGTAATACCTGCTATCCGTCGATCGTGGCACCTCCTTGCCGGCCAGCCACGATTATGACGAGCCAGGCAACCACATCTCGATTAATGCCGTTTAACGATAATTCGACGCGTAAGTGAGCGCTGTCTATATACGATTTGACCTACTCTTAAAGCCCCTCTCATCCACAGCTGAGGAGCGTTATATACAGCGCACCAATACGCTCTTCTTTAACGCATTGGTCATGGACCAAGGCTGCCCGGGTATTATACAGAGTTCCCTTGATGGTGTCGAGGACTTCAACGCGTACGCCTTCGACATTGCATTTGCCGGTAGCATACCAGAAAAGCCATATCCCATCGATCCCATAACCATGCTGGAAGCCATTAAATTACGCATCGATTATGAGCGAGAGGAGATTCGGAAAAGGTGTCCACCAAATGCGAAAATGAATGCCAAGGAAAAGTTCAAGCGGGATGCTGACTCGGATAGTTTATCGGATAGCAGCAAAGATGGCCTAAGAAAATCAAAGGGAAAGGACAGAGAAAAGGAAAAGGGACGGTATTATTCTGGTTCAACCATCTGGAAAAAGCAAAAGAAGGCCGGAGACACAAAATCATCTAGCGGTAAGACATCTATGCCCCGGGAGATAAGCGACATCGATAGACATTTCGCTTCCAAGAACAAGTCGGAGGTAAACGACGGTGTGCTTGCATTTCTGAAGGCCGAAAACTCTTATAAAAATGGACCCACACCCACGGTAAGTTTTTTTAATAATACTTTAAGTATATCGGTATATGATCTATATATATATTTAAACGTAAACCCCTCAGCAGTATAATGATATTTCAGCCGATATCCATTCACATGAATCAAACTTTTTTGGGTTGCCCATCAAAATGAAGATTTACACCGCAACGACATGGCCCACTGAATAGCACACCTGATGATTCCTATGGAAAATATTATGGCATTCTCGTTTTAGGGAATTGATATTTTCGGGATTTTAATCATAAAAATAAATGTAGTGTTATAATTCTTTAAAGATAATTTGGTTCTGAATCAAATCGTCTCAGGCGATTGTATTTGCGTTATTTAAATAATAAATAATAATTGTAGTGTTTATTATTAGTATGTCTAGAAGTGGTACGTTTTACGAAAAGTATGAAACAAAAGATCTTGGAAAATGATTTTGAAGACCGTCAGATGCCAATTTCCACCAATTTACCACAGTTGTGGGTGGATTTCCGAAATCATTCATAAAGTTCTAGTGTAGGGCTTCAAAAATAAGTTTTGAATCAAATCGGGCAAAACATAAAACTGAGCCCAAAAACCACAATCGCATTTTCCACAAAGGAAGCTTAGGTTTTACGCAAGGCGTGTCAAATAATTTTTCAAGTTTGGAAATGAGTTTGAGCGTGAATCTATAACCACCAAATCTTCAAATATTTTCTGTAAAAGTCCTCACAGTTTTCAAGTTAAGGTTAACATTAAAAGCAACAAATATATATCAATATATATCTCTCTACCCCGGTCATATGAGAGTGCACTATCACGATTTTTACTCACAGATATAAAAATAATTACAGGCGCACGTGTGTCATGAAAAGCCTATTATACTCATGTAGTTATAGGGCATACATTTTTATATTGTACATTAATTATTGTGAATTATTAATTTTGATGACTGAAAGTATTGCACATGCCTCTGCCTCAGTCATTTAATAGTCAAATTTGAATTTTCAGTATTATTTCCCTATATAATATACTTATTTGAATATTTGGAAAATTTGTGGGTCTACTAAATATGACTTTTAATCATTTTAATTTCATTATTTAATTTACGACTTTTATATAACCCACAACAAAACTACGAACAATAGAATTAATTATCGACTGCGATTTATCAAAAAATTGCGTAATATGCATGAAGCTGCAAAAAGTCCACTTGGGAAGCATTGGGGGTACTCGTGTGCCCATAATATTTGTACGTAAATAATTAATTATATCAGAAGCACCAGAAGCTGTTTAGACAGTATTCTTTCTAAATTTACCAAAAACGTCAAAAATAGTTTGTGGGAAATAATAGAAAATAGTTGATTAAGACCTTTTTTGGTATTAACTGCTTTAAACACATATTACATTTAAATTTATTAAAGACCTACTTTATATTTTATTCCTAGGAGGAATATTAAAAACAATAATCGGAAGTTATATGTTTATAAGATCAGTTATATGGGTGCATATGTGTGTACCTCTGTTTGTATGCGTGTGTATATGTGTGTATGTATGTGTATACACATATATGTATGCATATGTGTGCTTATGCACTCACATTTTCTTACTAAACGCAGACCCTGTTTACTTGCAGCAGTGCTGCAAATTAAGAAAAACGTCTTTTTAATGCAGCCCCTCTACTCGATTCTCATAAATTCTTGTAAGCCCTGCAGGTTTTCATGTTTTACTAAGTGATTTTTTTTTCTGTGCTGTGTTTTTTTTTTGTGCATGTAAGTATTTAAGTAAAAATAGTATGTATGTATGTATGTAGGTATGTAGGTATGTAGGTATGTAGGTATGTAGGTATGTAGGTATGTAGGTATGTAGGTATGTATGTATGTAGGTATGTATGTATGTATGTATGTATGTATGTATGTATGTATGTATGTATGTATGTATGTATGTATGTATGTATGTATATATGTATGTATGTACGTATGTATGTTTGTATGTATGTATGTATGTATGTATGTATGTATGTATGTATGTATGTATGTATGTATGTAGGTATGGACGTTTGTATGTTTGTATGCATATATTTACGTATGCATGTTTGCTTTTATGTGTGTAACGCAGACTTACTGTGCAGAAAAAAGAAAACAAAATTTAAGTACGGCACAGGTTTTTATGCTTTTAATGTTATAATTAAATTTACAAGTGTCCGCTCTTACTCTCATTCTAATTTACTTTGTTCTTTCAGCTACCTCTCTCCTACCAATAGATGGCATACAAATCAACGGCGTTTGTATGTGAGTGGGTAAGTACATATTTGTAAATATAATTAATCAGATATAAATAAGAATATATATTAAAGCAACTCTGAGCTGAGCAAGGGCTTACAACTCGTAAAATGTATGCTAGTTTGGAATATAAGTGTACTATGCTCTCTCTCTGAATCATTTTATGACTACAGGGTGTTAATATCGAATAACGTGTGATAAGAAAATAAAAAGAAATGATGATAGGGTAAGGCGTAGAAGCAAGAGTCAAAGAGAACAAGGCTGACGGCTGTGCGGGCGATAAAACTAAGTGGAACAAATCTCAACTCATATATGTTTGTCTGAATGACATATATATAATGTTGCAGTATAAGAGCATAGAATTGAACATCGTTTTGATGTCTCCTCTCACGCTCTCTCTCTCTACTCTCCCTTTCCCTCTCCCTTGCTCTTTTTGGGCGAATGAACTCTGCAGAGCGTGTCGCGTCGCGTGGTTGACAACAAAACTAAACCAAATTGGAAGCAAAACCGAAAGCAAATAAAAATATAAATACAAATCAGCTGGTCGCCAGTCGCTGGACTGGGCCACTCGCAACTGTGCAAATACGTAATATCCAACTCAAAAGGTGTCAGCGGTGCCAATTTGAAAACCTCTTTTTCTACCAATTGGCACCACAAAGCACCACACAAACTGTATCAGAGCTTAAAAGCAAATTGGCTTTTAATTTGCATGCGCAGTATTTTGCTCAACTTTTATTTAAATTTTTTTTTTTTTGTGTCAAATTTAAGTGTTTGAATATGCGGCTTCATATTTTTAGCTGAATAGGCATCTAGCGCTTGTTTATATTAAATAACAATAAGCCAAAAAAAGTGCATTAATTATAGTTTTTTTTTTTCGGTGTAAAAACAAATTTGATTTAATGAATTTATGTTGTGTTTTTTAAGCATTCTATAAAAAAATACTTGTGTGTATTTATGCATTATTTAATAATCCAGTTAATGCCGCAAATATTTGATAAGCCTCTTAAATGCGCACTTTAATGCAGCAAATTGAATTTATTTGTTTATCGGAATTAATGTATGTAAATTATGTTTGCTTTGTCATATTCACTGTTATTATTTTACCACTTGGTGCCGGCCGTCAAATTCGATGCAAAGGGTGAAACTCGTTGCGAGGTTCTCGGACGCGATCTGCACACCAAACACGCGTCTCAAAGACTGATCAGTCGGTGCCGACATTTCCACGAGCGAACCACAACTCGAACCCGATTCCGTTTCTGATTCTGATTCCGCTTCCATGCACTCAGCATGGTATGCGGTGTGTGGATGGCATGGAACAGGAAACCTTAATGATCGTAAAGTAAACAACAAAAGTACTCGGTTTTTTTTTTTGTTTGTCAAAAATGATATAACGAAAGTACTTCATAGCCGGGCTGTAGGTAATGGCACTCTCTGTAAGCAGGGCACGTCGTCGTTCTGGAGAGCGAGAGCGCAGACGAGAGCCCGACTGTGAGAGCGCCTTGTCACGGCACGTCACTTTCCCTTTTGTATTTTCAATGTTAACTTTTTTCTCTATAAAGATAATGACAGCACAGTGCCGGGTGCCCAATTTGGTTGGGCCCGTACATTTGTCAACAAGCTGATCCATAAGCAGATAAAATTCAAGAGTTTCGTATTAATTTTTATAACTGCGCAGGTTTCCTTTGATTTCCAGCTATTTTTATGATTATCAATATTTCACGTCTCGAATATGCCAAGCAATTATCTTTATAAATGATCTTGCACTTGAAATGATTGTTCAATAAGTTCTTGGAGAAATGTTCGGCTATTTTTGCCTTCTTTCAATTTGCCTTCGATTTATGCCAAAAATAGCAATCATTTAATGCGTTAATTATTGCATCACGATTATTTATCTTGTTGCTTTCTGAGATGTGTAAACACATTTCGTCTTGTATCTGACCAGTACGCGAATTTAGAAATTTTCGAATGTTAAAAGTGTCTAAAAAAAAAGAAAAGAAAATTAAAGTGCGTCAGTCCATATGCCACACACGAAGCAACGACAGCTGTTTAAAAACATTTTTCAGAAATCTTCCAGGCCAATAAAATTTAGTTTTTTTTTTTTTATTGATATGCACATGGAATAATTTTTTTATTCTGTGTGAAAATTAAATAGTTTTTGAATATAATTTTTGCCCATTTTCGAGCAGCTAGAGGAAAAAATACCTAATGGCTATGGGCTGGATTAGCTGGAGAATGATAAATGCATAAGATGGCAGTTAAATTGCTAAAAGACAATGCAAACATTTTTAATATTCAGCTGCACAAACACTGGAAAACGTTCCGTGCGCAAAAACAAAGTCATAAATAAATTTACAACAGCATTGCATGCAAATTTTCAAGGCAAATGCCTCCGGCCTCTCTCGCCTGCATATGGAAGGCACCCTGTACTCGGTACCCTGTAACCTGTACCCGGTTGCGGGTCATAAGCAATGCCCAAAGTAATATTAGAGTATATGTGTGTGTGTGCCAGGATTAGACAGACTTAAATGAATTTATGGCATGTGCTAATCTAAAGGGGTTTTCACATTGCCAGCAAAAGTGTGGCCCGCAAAGGATGGGAGGGGTATGAGCATTACATATGTAAGTAAAACCCAGAAAAGATTAAAGTGAAAAATACTTGGAATAGAAAATTACTTATTTATACTAAGAATATGCAAGACAAAATACTATATTTTATTATTTATAGGAAAGTAAACACAACAATATAAAAATATATATATATATTAGGAAAAGTACAAAATGTTCTTTATATATATTTGTATAATTAATAGATATTTTTGTTGAACAAATTTTGACATGTACTTTGGAAGAGTATAATATTCTTTCCAACTATATTTTTACAATATAAACATAATTGGTGAAAGAATTAAAAGTTCCTAGGATGAGTAAAAGAGTATTTTTATAATACCCTCCCAAATAGTACAGAGAAATAGGTCATATATCTGGACCTCAGTATTTAAATGTTCCCATGTTTAAGAATATAAAAAGCAGCGTGAGTAACATAACGGAAATGTGAGATAA